GCTCTCAGCGGGATAGGTGAATAAAGATTGCTCAGACTTTTAAAGGTCATAATGGAAAATGACAAGAAATCAACACTAATGTCTTACTTATGAGTTTACATTTAAAAAATTACCATTGCACATTTTTCTTAAGCTCTTTGACTGATTTATATAAGATATTTAAGGATAAGACATGCAAAGGCTAATCAAGAGCTTGCGTTCGTTTTTTCCATTTTATATGATGAAAGTCAAAAGTGGAATAAGTAGTAAAGCATTTTTAATGAAATTTATCTAAGTATATATATATTTATATAATTTTTAATTTTTGAAAATGATCACTAAAGAACAATAGTGATCCAGGATCCACCATTAAATACTCTACATCAAGCTGCAGGTATTTATATAACGACTTTCAAAAATGAGACGTGGTATGGGAAGTGATCGAAAAAATGGACCGAAGCGAATCAGTTTCAGTAACGTTTGTTCTTGGGCAAAAACGCGTCGGTGGATCAAATTTCAACAAAATATTTCAGAAATTGCGATTTGTAAGTTGAACCCAAGAAAACAAGACGGACAGGCAAGCTTAAACGGTATAATCGAAAGTGGGACTATGTCAAGTCCTTCAGAGTGTTGTATGCCCTTAAATATCCCAAAAATTACAACTTGCACAACCTAAATGGTATAATAGAAAGTAGATCTATTTCCACATAAACTCAATATACCCTCGTAACATAGGCTTGATTTAAATATTTCCTCAAATTCGATGAATAGATGCCCGCATAAGAAATCACACCTTGAATTTGAATTTAAGGCGTAGATAGAAATCCTTTTTTGAAAAACCATAAGATTTAAACGTTTTCAAATATTTAAAAATATTCAAGTTAAACTTTGCTAATGTAAAATGATTACAACTATTACACAGGCTAATCGCATTAGCCACTGACTCTTTATTGATCAACATTTGTAAACGAGCGAAGGCTCTAAGTAGAAATTTATACCTGTTTATCTGCTTTTGTGACAGGTTTAAATCCTTATTCAAAGAAAGTCTCAATACAAAAAAAAAAGGTTTATTTTCTAACAAAAAGAAAACACGGAATAAACAAACACATGCTTACAACCATAAAACCTATATTTAGTTGGAATAAGCAATTGCTCCCGTATTGAATGAAGTCAAGAATTATAGAGTTAACGAAATCAAGAGACGAAAATTTTTATGATACCATATTACCTTCGGACAAATCAAAGAATATTATTAACGACTTGACGAAGACTTTCGCCTGCAGAGTCTGCACCCGGAGCATAAGAAGAAAAGACTCAAAAGCTGCCTTTAAAATGGACCAAATTGTATAAGGAGTAGCTCATGTTGCAATGGACACTAATTTGCAGCGAGAATGACAGCAGCACATGCTAGATATGAAAGTCCAACCGTATATTCATATTCAATACCTCTTCCCCAATCTAGCAAGTATGACGTTAATGTTATTTAACATGTGTAATTAAAAATGTTTGTTGTTGTGTCTATGAGCGATTGCGCATACCTACAGTTTTCATCCATTTATAGTAATTAGGAAATCTGGAGATATGTTTTCGGTGCTGGCAAGCAATATACCGCCAAAAAAAAGATTAAAAATAGCGCAGGGCAGTTCTTCAAAACCATGGAATCGCCTTGTCAAGTGGAATACAAAACAGAGATATGCCCACTCACGCTTTCATCACAAGTTAATCTGCTTTGAAAGCCACACCTTTGGGATTTAAAAGGGGCGGCGGAATAAAATAGGACGCAGTCCGAACATTATATTGGATCGTGATCGAGTCTTTTATATCCATCGTCGTCATCCTAAAAAAGACAAAAAAAAGTAAAAGTACTTAATTTTCATGCTCTTCAATGCGAAGTGGACGCGACTGATTGTTACCATTTTCAAAATAAAAGTTTTTGTCGTACAGGCGGGTGGGCATTGCAGGCGTGCTATTGGAAAAGCCACTTTTAAATTCTTTTGCAAATTTGTATGCGATATCTTCATTTCGGGTAAGGGGTCAAAACATAATACACAGTTGCGCAGACAGACAGATGAGCAGACGAACATGCTTACGCGCATTCCAAATTTGAAGCTAACCGAGAATTTGTATACTTTATGAGGTTTTTAAAGCTTGTTTCTGCGCCATATAAAAGCATTGAAAAAAAATTAAATTTTAATACACTTTAACATTGGGCAGGCGTGGTCAATTCGTTCCATTTTTCTATAGGTGCTAGAGCATAGCCCATAGAATATGCGTTCAAATTTTTATAAATTTATTTGCTATAGTTTGAGTAATGAGCAAAAAAACAAATTTGTATTCCTTTTGGAAAACGCAAGTATTCTCCTGATGGGGGGCCTAATGTCCTTCGACCATGTTGGCCCATTTTCAATACCAATCTACGTGCGCGATCTTGCAATGGTTCTGCCAAATTTGAAGCAGGTTCATTTTTGCGGTGAGGAGAATGTTTACAACAGACATTATGCAGACGGATAGACGGACAGATGGACAGACACGCAGACGCACAGACAAGCATGCTTGAATCGATTTAGAATTTGACGCTAATAAAGAATATATACTTTTCGGGGCCTCTGAAGCTTGATAAAATGAATATACCCCTCATTCTTCAGTGATGGATATAATAATAATTTGAGCATTTGCGCAAAAATGCTGTTAGTATATTTTGGAAGTACTTGTAAATTTATTATAGGAAAGACTTGAATCATCTATCAGGCAACAAACTTAATAACTTAAATCTAACCATATGAAATTCGTTCCATATAGAAAGTGCAGTGTGGTTAGGTGGTTAGCTGCTGAGAGCATAGTGAATATGTCAAGGCCGTAAATGGACGATTACCGATACAATTATCACTCAACTTACTATAAAACATACTCTAAAATGTGCCTTTGCCAATGTTTACAAATGATAGATTTCCACGAAAATTGATAAAAACTGAAATGAAGCAAAAGTAAGATAGAAAATTAAAAATATGTAGGCGTTAAGCAAGGACAAGTAGCTTGCTGGGAGGACGCTTTAGTGGAAACGCAACCAAAACGACCACATAAGATCAACAATATTAAAGCGTAGAAAAGGGAGATAATTGCAAAAGATGGTCAGATCATGTACGGTCGATGCAAGGTAAAGTCCTGTAGAGATGTACGGCACTGCAGAGCGAAATCTATAAAGACATTTTAACCACTCTGACCACATTAACATTATTCACCAAGACCCCTCTCTGGTTTGTAACCTTTTGTTGATGAAAAATAACGAAATTTGTTATGACATGGCTGATCAAATTGTGCTTTTTTACGTCTATCTATTATTGCGGATGAGTAAACGTTAACTCACCCCCTATGGCACACTAGAAGATGTTGTAGAAGATGTTCTTTTTTAAACTGCGATGTATAAATTGTTGAATGAAAGACTCTGTATATCAGTGTAGCATATAGACACATTTGCTTTGATAGCTTACTTGTAATAACTAACGTAACTAACTATAAGAAATAACGAGATACCACAAAAGAAAGAACCAGTCTTCAAATAGTAGATTGACGCAAATTTCCCCAATTTATGCATTCTCGAGCTGAGCATAAAGATATGCTCATTTTGATACACAGTTTTAGACATACGTCAAATTGGTTCACACATACACGCACCCGGAGAGCAATTTCTAGATTCATCCTTGTCGGCTCTTTGACTTTTATGTGATTATTTTAGTGTTGACAAAACTTAACGAAAATTAAAGAATTATGATTATCGTGGTAATAACTTTTCCACAATAACTCTGACTCTGCTTTCGTTTAATTCTTTCAACAATCTATAAATAATAAGTCGGATCATCAAAGATACATTGGAAGAAAAGTTAAAAAGAAAATTTCAGAAGGAAATCTACAATACCTTCATCAGCGCTACTCTTTTATTAACCCTCAACTAACTCCGCCTTTATATCCAACAAATGTTAAGAAAATCAAGGTGCATACATTTTTCAGAATTCGCCTTGGTCATACAATTGCAACTCACCAATGGATCCTGAAAAAGTCCTCCTCCCCAATCTACAGTTGTGAACAAATTCTTACTATAAAGCACATTCTCTGTGACTGCCTTAACTTTTCCTTGGCTAGAAGTATTGCATTTCGAACGATTAACCCTTTGGACATTCTAAAATCAGCTTCAGAACAGAATATCAATTCAGTATATTACTTTATTAAAACTACTAGGCTCAATATCTAATGTACATTTTTATAAATTACAGCCGATAGTCTGTGTTGCCAGTGCTCAATGTCTTTTTTTACTTTATTTCATTAGTCTAAAATTATAATAATAATAACATTTAAATTTCTAAAGAAACACTGACTTACCTGTAAAATATTCAAAATTGTTATTAACGCAAGAGCCGCATGCTTACCTCTTTTTAGAAAATTCGGCCAGTGCTGCTTAATTCCCAATTTTTTTATTAAACAACCCTGTTCAAAAAACAGTAATTGTTGTGTAGCATTTTGTGTGTAGTTGGTGTTTTAAAGCTGGTGTCGCGTGTTGCAAAATATTGGTTTGAGCTTGTTGTTGCAAATTCTAATTTTTATTCACATTGGTCCTCCACGTGCTTTTGTTAACAGTAAATCAAATTTTACGCTCAGAATGCTCTCAGCATTTTTTGTCTCTCAATTTTGTGGGTGGTTGTTGTTGTACATTTGTTACCTTATATATTTTGTTAATGTAAAAGTAGTACCAAATGTATTTTGTTCCTACAAAAGTAGTACCATACGTGTTTTATTGGCGTAAAAGTAGTTCCGTGTGTTTCCGAATTTTTCAGAATGGCTGCTACTTCGTTTATTTAGTTTGTTTATCATAATTTTAAAAAAGCTGTTAATATCGAAAATATTATAAATTCGATTTTCTAACATAATTTAAATTATGTCATATTTATGTGATTCAACTGAGCTTGAATGTAAGCTAATGAAAGGACTTACTTTCATAATTTGTCTCACTCGCATTTTTAATCAACCCGGTAAATCATCTGTTGTTCATCTGCTGCACCGCAGAAAAAGCAGAAGAAGATATTAATTTCTAACAATTCATTGTAGTTATAAAAATATTCTTGTTATTTTTTTTATCAGTTATTAACTCAATAAGGTATCGAAAAAACTCGCGATCAAAAGAATATATTTACGCAATGTCTGAGCAGGAAAATCAAGACGAAAAAGAATTAAATCAATTGCTTGATGGTAAATAGTACTAAAAATAAATGACAAAGTTCAATGATCATCAAATTACACTACCCAGAGCGAGAGAGTGTTAAAAGGCCTAAACGAAATAAATCATTTCTTATGTAATATAATAAATTTTTATAACGATTTCCCTGAACAGATGCATTACAAGATTTTGGACGAAACGACAACAGATCCGGAGCTAATCAAACAAATAAAAATGCAGAGGAAACTCCTACAGCAGGTAAAACGGGAGCCGAAATTTCTGAGGATTTCTTTCTGTAAGTGTTATTTGCATCTCTGTAAATGAAAACAAGAGTTAACAGTAATTGCGTCATTGTTGAAATCTATTAAGAGAACAGGCGAAATTATTATCAGAACGCATGAGTACGTTGTTTGGTGGGCCGGAAACACCAAGCCCTGACAACGCGCAACAGAATCCAGAACAAATACTAGCGGGCTTCAAAAAAATGGCAGAAGCGGCTGCAATGACATTACAAGGCGAAAATAGTGCCAGCGACGAAGAAGTGGCTAAATATTCAGACAGTATAGCTCAGGCGCTTAAGGGTTTACAAGAAGGTTCCGAAAGTTTAGCTGCCCCCGTTTCTGAAAATGATGTGGCCAGCATGTTTAACGGATTAAATTTGGATAATGTAAATTGCTCTTTCAGAAATACGGGGAGTTTAGCATTTATAAAATTAACAATTATCTCTAGGTAGTTTCAGAGGATGGCAATATGTTTCTGCCATTTATGGAAGGCATGATGCAAAGTCTGTTATCAGCGGAAATTTTATTGCCTAGCATAAAAGAACTTTTAGAAAAGTATCCTAAATACTTAACAGATAATTCTGAAAAGCTAACTGTTGAAGAGAAAGAGCGTTATGGGAAGCAATTGGAGCTATACAAATTGATTGCTAGCCATTTAGAAAATGAAAATGCTAATGATACGCCCAAAGAAAAACGTGAGAAATTCAAAATAGTACTCGAGGATATGCGCAAACTGCAGGAATATGGACAACCACCTGCAGAAATTTTAGCAGAAACCGCGGGAGATTTACCCATGTTGGATCCAACAGGAGGAGCAGCGGGAGGAAATCCACAATGTCCAATGATGTAGCCTATTTGAACTTACTTTATATAAAAGTATACGCAATTTTAACTTGGTTTCTGTAATTAATATTAGCTACTAAGTGGTCCAATGGTTTAAAAATTTGTGTACTTTCAATGTTGCATCTTTGTTGACTAAATATAGAGACTTGTGAGCTTACTATTTATTAGCCTTGACTATGTCCGTTAAGAAAGCCACGAACAATTCCCGCTTGTGTGTATTCAATTATCTAAAACACAATTTCTGGTTTTAGCAAAACATAATGTTATACTAGATTAACGTTTTATAATTTCGTAACAATTGATAATAAACGTGTAACTTGGATCATAAACACAATAGTGTGCAATTTTTGCGTCTGGACATTCCTATCTAGTTCTTATAGAATTCGTGTAACAAAACTTTTGAAAATTGTGTTGAGAGGGATTAGAGTTTTTTTTTCTTCTCAAGCCCTCTCAGCTCAGCAATCTATGTTTTCCACAAAAGCTTTAATTTGAAGACATAAAACGCATATCTACATGTTAACTTATACGTCTTAGGTCAAAATACAAATCGCATTACATATGCAAACAAAAAATTGAATAAATGCAAATTCATTACTTGCAAAGCCGATGAATCTAATGCGACCTAACTCTACATAAATAAATGATGGAATGAGAAATGAAGAAGCAATAACTTTTTAAGATTTTTGATAGAGAACTAATATGTTATGAAGTGCATCCGCCAGACACACCGGGTAAGCAACGACCACTCTCGACTCGCAACCCACAATGGTTGTGGGTTGAAGGCTCAAGTGCGGAGGAGTTTTAAATAAAGCCGATAGCCTTTGGAGGCCTAGCGCTTTAAGAATTTAGTCTTCGAATTTATTCTCTGGATAAACTAATAATATTAATAAGATGAAGAGGAAGAACTAACTCCTGTGGGGGTAGGACATGCCTTTTCCATTCATGTCACATTTTCTTTAAATGTGAAGAAACTTTCTTAACCCTTCCCTGCACATTAAAAGCAAATCTTGATCAACGGAGCTCCTGCGATCGTCATACACACTTATACTAATAGTGAAAATGAAGATTACCATAAAAATTGAGGAAAATCTAACCTCATGATACTAATCATACTGTAAAAAATTGGAGTTATTTCACTCGTCCTAAAAAAACTGTAACTGCGATATTATCCAAAACACAATATGGCTTCAGTAAACATAACTTTAATAAAAGGCTATTTATGCGTTGGTGTTACAAGTGGAAACGGCGTCTTGAAGCCTCCATAGAGTGACGCTTATTGGTGATAATCCATACATAGTCACCAGTTTTGCTGTCAAATGTACCTTCCTGAAGCGAGCGCAATTTTAATGTAAAACGTGGGCCGAGTTCTCTTAGTTTGGCGCGTTTACCGTCTTTGCTAAATTCATATCGATGATGGCGAAAGAAAATATAATCCCGCTGATTATGGAAAGTCGCAACTCGCCTTCCCTTAAACTCGGGATCATGATGAAAAAGAGCACCCAACATACGACCTATTGTAAGGCCTAAGCGTGTCGTAAAATTGTTAAGTATTACTTCGGGCCTATGCTTAGTAATTTCCTTGTGATCCCTTTTAATATCCGTAGTTAATTTCACATTGGATAATTTGAAATGAGCAGTTGGGCCGTTAGGTAGATGAATGACTAGAAGACCGTTAGGTTTTCGTCTGTCTTCATTGATAATCACAACATCCGTATACTCTTCCCGAATAGCTGATTTACACATTTTCTTAACGGACGATCGATTACGTATTTTAACTAAAGCATTAGGAAAAATGCGGCCCAATTCCAAGCCAAATTTACGAGTCTTTGTGACGGGATTATCGGCAAATGTTATTAAAACTTTGGGTTCATAAATGCGTTCAAAGTATGCACTAAATTCATCGCATTCCAATTCCTGACGCAATTCTTCATTTTCGGAATCATTTAAATTTGTTACGATGGTTTGATCTGCTTCACGTAAACTTTCTATGGTATGACCCGGATTGGCGGGAATGCCAGCTTTACGCCTAGCACGACGTTCTTGCATTTTCTTTTTATGTTTCTCTTTCTTCATTTTTCGAAATAAGGCCATACGCTTTTCCTTGTTGCGTATTAAGTTTAAGGGATTCAAGACTGGCATACGAACCTCTTCCATGGTATCGTCTGCATCCGGATCGCCATTAGAAGAAGAGGTGTGACCATTTTTCGTTGCCTTCCGCAAAGCTCTACTCATGCAAGGCTGCGGTTCGTCCTCGTCCTCAGAACTACTGCATACTTCGGTGTTAACATCACCTTCAGTAATCTTCTTATTACTTTCTTCTTCCTCTCCGTCACTTAAACTAGAATCGCTACTGAACGATTCTGTGGAACATTTTTGTTTACTTTTCATTTCTGTTTAAATAAATGTTCACAATGTATATACAACAATTCTCCAGAATATCACACGTGTTAGTCAGTGTTGTCAATAGTTCTGTTTATTATTATTTTAAGCAGAGTTGCTATACGTCAAGTGTTAGGATAATATAGAGAAGATAAACAATAGGTTGGTGCATAATAATCAGGTGTTTCCTTGACGTGTTATAATTTAATAAAAATTTATAGTATTTTATAAATTTATGAATGAAAATATTCTTCTACTCTTAGGTTTTGAAAATGCATGCCGATGATCACACTCATATTCATAATATTAAGCTGTGTTGTGAGGGCACAATCAGGGGAAAATCAGGAAGAGGTCGACCATCGGATTTCAACAACGAGGCACTATTGGCAGCCTTGGAAAGGAGCGAAAGCTTGGCAACTCGCATGCTGAACGATAACTTCAATGTGGACCATTCAAGCATCGTTCGCCGTTTCATAGCGCTCAAAAAGTAGATGATGACTACGCCCCGGGTTAATCATTTGAAAATTTTACTGTTGAATTTTTATGTTTGCTTTTTGACTAGAAATAGTATTCAAGAACGTCAGATAATTATGCACCAGCCTATTAGGATCACATCAATTTTTTGGCTCATGCAATGTATTTCTGCTATGTTCTCTTAAGAGCTAAAGCTATATACCTATAAAATCTGGTCTTAATTATCGAGGTTTCGAATTTCCCTTCATCTGTTCTCTGTATTGTCTTCTTGTTTTTCTGTGTTTTTCTCTCTCTTTCTCTCTCTTGATTTTCTCCTCTTCTTTCTATAGACGTATACATTGTTGAATAGACGAAAGTGAAATAAAATATTCCATTGAAAGGTATAATTAATCAAAATATTTGATATTTTTCAATTTTAATAAAAAAATCTCTCCTTTTCAACTATATTCTTTATAATGATTAAACATTTATTTGTTTTAATTCAATAATTATTAATTGTACGTACATATACGATTATTTCTTTTTATAAGTATTCTAAGAACATATTAAAAAAAAAAGTAATAATAATTTTTATAAACAAAAATAAAAAAAAAGGAAAATGAAAACAAAGTAAAAATAACAATACACAACCGTTGACTTACAAATATTTATACAATTAAGTTTAATACGCAAAAAAAAAAAAATATTATAAATACAAAATACAGAAAACAATTCTTATATATTTAAAAATAATCGTAACTTTATAAAACTTTCCAAGTAAAAATAAATTATTATTTTTTAATCAATTGAAGTGAAGGATATGTTAATTCTTAATAAAATACAATTTCCGTAGCTTGAAAAAAAAAAAAACATTTAACAAACAGACTTATAAAAAGTTATTTTGAGCAAACTTATTATTATATAATCAGTTCTTAAAAACTATATACATTCTTAAAAAATTTAATTGTGTGTTATACTTTTTTAACATTTTTTTTTTTAATTTTTATTTTTCTTTTTTTTTTTCTTTTTTTTTTATTAACTTTATAAAATATTATTGTGTACAATTCATCTGCAAAGGTTTTATTTATTGTAATTGTTTTCCATCTATGCTTTTGACTAATTTTTTTTATTTTTTTTTATAAAAATTGTTAATTTAATCGAAAAGTTTTTATACCCTACAACACTTGTGGTACAGGGTATATATGTACATATATGTAACACGCAGAAGCGCTTCAGACTAATCGTTTGTTATATCAATTCTTTGGACCCATTTTCTGAATAGATCTAAGCTTGTCTGTCGGTGAATTTTTGTGTTCACGCTGCAGGTAGTGATTTTTGAGACATTGTGATGGACGAATGCTATTGCAAATCGTTTGGATCGGTCCACTTTTTCAACCATCCCCTCATATAATACCCTATTTTGAGAAGTCGTTACGTGGAAAAAATTGCAATTTCCAAAATATTTTTGACGAAAGCGACTAAGTAATAGTATTTTGACATTCTAAATTGGTATGAAAACTTTGAAACGGTTCCGGCAATTTTTTGAACCTCATCTCTTATAACGAAGACTGAACTTCATATGACAACAATGTAGAATTTTCAATGCTTTATGTTGAAAGTCAGATCGTAATAGTAATTTCATATAAAAAAAATAATTGTACCAAATTTTGACTATCGCAGCCGATTTTTTAGATTGCACCCTTTATAAGGAGTTTCAGGAAAATTCGCCATTTATATTAAATTAACCTATAGAAGCAATTTGATATAAAAATTAACTTTACAAAATTTGGACCACTTTTGTATCCTACCCTATATAAGAACTTTCGCGAAAACTTTTGTTTATTAGGGCAGAAGAATCTAAGTTTTATTATGTTATGATGAAAATTCATCCATAACAGTAATGTGAATTAACTGTTCCGAATTTTGAACATTTCCTTCAAGTTTTGAACCTCTTGGCAACAACCATTGTTCGGGAAAGTAAGACTTTATCTTCAAAGGGGTGTAATTTTTAATGTACAGTTCGAAAAAAGTGGTGTAGGGTATTTAATAGTCGGCCTAGCCCGACTATGTTTTCACTTGTTTATTTTAGAATTGACGCGTTTTGCTCAAACATGAACTTTACACACTTTACTAACTTTAAACTTATTAACAGTTCTCAAGGAAAATGATTAAAAATTTTTTAATCGGTTGAAGCCGATCTTTTCATATTCTATGCCTTTTTCAGGGGATTATCCCGATTGGTCGAAGTCATGGCGATTATTTGACAAAAATTTACAATTTAGCCAAACTGCATTCCTTGAATGATAGCTCATATAATAATAAAAAGTAAGAATTTTCGTCAATTTTGTAACTTAGTTTTCCTGCAATCGCTCAATCGCTTTCTCATAGGACCTTCCTACCAGTGTTTCCGATACACGTCATTCTTCCATGCCAACCGGCTTTGTTATAAAATTTAATTCATTTATGTATCAAGCTGTAATGTCAAAGAAATTAAGACAAATGTACATAATCATAAAAAACATTGTTGTCTTCCTTTTGTAACTAACCACACATCCTATATATGTAACATGGTAATGGTAAGAAAAAAAGTAAAGAGAGAAATATATGGAGTAGACGCCTCCATCCCTGCTATGTATTATGCCGATCGGGCACTTACTGTAACTGTGACCAAACACCAATCGTAATTAAAGTATGATAGTACAGTGACTTTACACTCCTACTAACTACTTGGTTCGAAATAATCTTGAAAGTGAAGCGCCTCTTACACACTTTGCAATGCGCTTATGCAATAGCATAGCGTTCAGAACAGAACGATACATATTGGACACATGTACGATATACAGACTTAAGGAGATTCGTGGCTCTTATATTTATTTTAAAGTTTGGCGTCTGAGCCAAATTTCTTTAGCGAAAAACGCGATTATTCGGCGATATGGGTTAGGGAATTGTTAACTTTGTTCGGTAGACTGCGTGGGTATAACAAAGGATCTAATGATGAAAGCGATGAAGCTTATTTTTTTGCTTTATAGGCAAAATTTTTTTTAATATTTGGATTTCAAAGGCATAGAGTTATATAATTGCACATTTCCTAATTACTTACGAGTAGTCATCAAGTAGTGATCGTTGACTTTACGCAATTCAATGATGAATACTGTTCACGCAAACTTCTTGTCTGTATAAATGACTAAATGTGTGTATACATCTATGTTTAATAAATTGTAAATAACTATAAAATAATAAGAATTAATAGAATAAATAAAAGTATTGTAAGAGCACGATGTATATACAAAATGTGTCACTTACTAGAAAATAATTTACTAAATTCGCTAAATGTCGTTTTTTGTTATTGTTCTAAAATAGAGCGTCACGGCTTTTGAGTTGTTTATAATGCATTGAATCGATTAAATGAGGAATTAGGCAGGCAATGGATTCATGCTATACCACCGCCTAACCCAATTGAGGGCACAGAGCTGCCACGATGGGATCGCATAAAATTTCGATTACTTACCGGATACGAACGTGGATAAGTGATCAGTGTTGAGCCTAGAGTCATGCTAAGAGGCGCCTTGTAGCGTCCCGGTAAGCTAATAAATACTGTACCTACTGCCGCTAGATTGTCAAACGTTGGCTCTATGGCTATTAGCATCAATTCAGCCAATTGGCTATGTGCAGGGGCGTTGTAGTGACGGGAACGCGCTCCAGTAGCGCTACGAACAACGCGATTGGACGTGGAAGTTGTTGGATTAGGACTATCTATGTCAAAAGAATTAGGAGCTAAGAAAACATGAGCAAAAGGACGTTTAGCTAAATGCAAAAGTTCAACAACATGCTGCCGTCTGGCTCTTCTTATGTCAGCGGCTTGCTTCACTTTCCAAACTACAACGCATACCGCCAGAAAGAGGAAAAAACAAGAGAAAAATACGGAAAAGAATACAAACAAATCAATGTGTAACTGGTCTTGACGAAATACAACTGAACCATAACTCGGCTCTGGTCCCGAACTAGCTCTCAAAGCTATAAAAAATCGCGTTGCGCTTAAATTATGAGCATGTTGCGGCAGTGTTAATACCAAGCGATTTTTTAAGCCAAACAACCGTAGTAGTGTATTACATTGATTTAGTGTGACATGCGTACTCAAATCTTTAGCGTGTTGGTCCTTTACGTAAAAACTATGGCCACCGTGGCTTTTACAATCCTGTATATGGGGCACATAATAACTGCTGCGTTTGTCGCTCATAATTAATTTTGAAAAACTTGTACTGTTGTCATGCTTGGGAAGAGCAACGTTTAGAGAATGACTACGTTTTGAAGTTGGCCCCCAATTGTAACGATTATCGAGATAAATTTCATGATAGCCAGTTGTTTCGTTGGTTTCTACTATAAAGGAATCATCCTGTGGCGACATGTACACATCCAGCTCACCTTGAGTGACATCGATAATCACTCGAATATCCACATTCATAAAACGCGGTTGTATTACAAAAAAGACGGTCTGCCCGGGCTTAAGAGCAGCAGGTTTTGCTTTGCATTCCTCTGAAAATAAAAAAGATAAGTAAAAAAGGACTTTTGGCTTGTTTTAAATGCTGCGAAGTACTAACCGATTGGTTTGGCATCAAAGCACATGCGTGATTCCACTGTAATTTGCTTATAACATTGATGGCCATCGATCGGATTGCCTGCATATGAATCCCGACATTTAGAACATTGGACGCTCCAGCAAAGGTGAGCCGAATTTTTACCACCACCCGCCGTACAAGTGGCGTCGCTTTCCGTATTATTACCACAATTGCACTTTTCTCCTGTTACCGGATCACATACGTTACCATGCCCATGGCACTGACAAGATCTGCACTCCTTGCGGTGATCTTCGCTGCCACGAAAATAGCCCACAATGCAGGTATCACATCGTTGGCCTGCTGTATTATTGCCACATCTTAAACACGTCGCGTTCGCCAAGGGACCTTCCGGTAGAGTCACGTTAAGTTCCGCTCGAGTCATGTTGAAGAAAGCCGGATCGGAGTCATTAGCTATGCAGGCATCTGTGTGTCCGTTACAGTACACATGACATGGTATACATTCTCGCCCTTCACGAGGATCACCCACATATAAAGGTTGACACTTTTCACATTGAGCACCCATTGTATTGTTGTGACATTGGACACATTCATCTAACAGATCAGGTCCTTTGCAATTAGAGTGGCCGTTGCAAAGGCATTGAATACTGCAATTTTCACCCACATAACCGAAATCACATTCACAAATATTCGGTCGTAAACAATTACCGCGGACACATCCTTGAGTACAAACCGGCATGCAAGTGCCATTATCATCACGATAACCTTCACCACATACACAACGATAGCCAGTGGGAGCATCAATGCAGCGCTCGGAAGTGGGATCGCAGTTATGGTGGCCATTGGTGCATTCATTTTCAGCAGGACATTTCACATAATTCCAAGACACTATATCAGTTGGATTAAGTCGAGAGTCGTTACGACGAGAAGTGTATATTAAATCGCACGTTGATGCTGAAGGATATTCCTGCTTATTTTCCGGAGAGCCTTCTGTGCAAATTCCATCGCCATTGTAACCATCGCGAGCACACCAACCGCAATGCGCATGTTCTAGGCAAGTAGAGCACTGAGAGTAAACGTAGCACGGTTCAGGACATTGGTCAGTTTCGTTCGCTTCTAAAACCAAACCGCAAACACCACCGGCACAGAATAAAGGCTGTGTTTGTGGCGATAGACAAGTATTTAACATAATAGACCATTTGCAGTCCCTAGGCTGATCCGCGTCATCATTGTTAAGACAAGAAGTACAATTAGTATAAGTGTAGCAAGAAGCCGGACACTGACCTATTATACGATATTGATTTTGTTCGACTAATTCCTTTGTTATGCATTCTATGGTGCCCAATTCATTTTGAGCCCATTCACAATTGTCGTTAAGAATACATGTTTCGCAGTGCAAGGTGTGACACTGCGGTTGGGGGCAAAGGTTTAAAAGTCCAACGCTTACTTCTTTACTACACCATGTGTTGCGCCTTTCACAATCCACTCCAGCTGGAACGCATCTTCCCTTTATACCACACTCATCACACCATTGACATATCGGCGTTGTTTCAACATGTGTAGGCCAGGAGGCTAAACAAGAGCTGCATGTGGTGAAACTGGAACAATTACGTCTTGCCATCCAAGCATCATCGCAAGCTGCTCCATTGTTGTATGTCAAGGTACCGTTTCCATTATCGCACACCCCACTGTTACCTTGAGAGAAACAATGCGAAGTGATACTGTAAGGACCAGGTACATTGCAAAAGCTACAACCCATGTAATGGCGACACAAATATTTCCCCGAACTCCATAGCTGACAAATATCTAAAGGTAATACTATCTTCGTCACTTGACTAGCGCTGGCGCTACCATCCCATCCACCGATCACATAAATGGCGTTGTTCTCATGATCAATTGATATGTCTTCAGCATAAGTGGATGACTGCAATTTACCAACTATATTGACATCTTCGGTTAAGCGTATCCACTGATTACAATTGTAAACGTAGGCTATTAAAACATCACTGGCATTGTAAGGGTGCGTTCGTCCCCCATAAATCACCATATAATGTTCGGTAGTAGCAGCTGAATGGAAATACCGAGCTCTTGGCAATAGCGACTCTGGTCGATTTAGATCTTGGAAAGGTGGTAATTCAGTCCACGTCATTTTTTGTAAATGCAACGCGTATAATTTATTTTGTGGCTCGATGGAATAGCCACCAAATACATACATAATATGCTTTTCGCTGTGGTAGACGGAACTGTGACCATACAACACGGGCATGCGTACACCCAAAGCGAGCAATTGCTCCCAGCGAAAGGTTTCCAAATTAAATTCCCACAATTCCAGTTGACGCGATCTATTCCTTGTAAGACCACCTATTAATAAAAGAGCTTCTCTCGTATAAGTTAGAGTATGGCCGACCAAAGCCGGCGGTCTCACGCGATGTCCGTGCAAATCGATTTCAGACCAGCGCTGATTTTGTATAGAAAATTGCCAGAAATCTTCTAATATTTGGGGGTTAGGAGAAGAGCTTCCAGTTGTAATACCCCCATAAATAAATATCGTTTGCTTTTTCAAATATATTTCAGCTGCATGGAAGTAACGTCCTAACGGCATTTTCTCTTCAGGTGTAGATTCAACAGTTACTTGCATCCAAGTGCCGTTTTTTGTGTCGAATTGACGAAAGTCGTTTAGTGGCCCATGGGAGGGCGAGTAACCGCCAAACATCCAAACAGATCCCCTCCTATCTGCGCAAACTGTGTGACCGAAACGAGGTATGGTTTTTCGCAAATGTTCAAACGATTCTGATAATAGCAAGGTGTTGAATAGTTCGGTTACAGTCAATTGATTTGGCTTAACCAACGTACCGCAATCCATACCGCCATACCCGAAATTGCATATACAGCGCCCGTAGTCGGTGTCACAATAGCCTTGCATTCGTTTGGCGTTGCAGTTCCGCGGGCATACTTCCACCTCACACCGCGGCCCCACATAACCAGCTGGGCAAATGCATCTGTGTTGCTCATCGCAGATGTGCGGATGCAGACAGGTGCGTGCTACGCAATTCTTTACAGTGTAAATTGCATTGAAACCGAAATGCTTAAACAAACCACCTCCTTGCTTATAATAAACAGTAACATGACTTGATCGGGCTTCTATTATATGTGAAGAGGTGTAGGGATTACAAACCACCGAAATTAGTTGGTTTTGATGCGTGGCACCTGTCAAATCTGGCAAGCTATCGTAGATATACACTGCATTGTCGTCACAATCCATGGCCAGGGTGGACCATTCAAATTCCACTTGCAGAAGGGATTTTTCAGCTTCTAAAGTTTTTGGAAATAAAATCCATAAACACTCGCGAACCTCCAAGCTGGTACCCCAGGGTGATTTGTAAGACTGATAGGAACCTATACCGCTGCGGCCGATATTCTGTAAGACACCTCGAGATTCACATTGATAATAACATTGACCGCCGTCCCTCGGATCACCGTAGTAACCTATGGCACACTGATCACATTTAATACCAACTGTATTATCTTTGCAGAAGCATTCTCCGTTACCAACATTGCAAATCCCTAAATCTTGATTGCCGTGACCGTTACACTCACATGGACTACAACCAGCAGCCGAGGTCGCATTGCCATAACTGCCTTGACGGCAACGTTCGCAACGTTCTCCCTCAGTCCAAGCTTGACAAGAATCACATTTACCTACGCGCTCTGTACACGTGGAGTGATTGTGACAACCACAATTTATTGAGCAATCGGCCCCTGTCCATCCCAATTCGCACTTGCATGTATAATCTGGCGCACCCGAACAATAACCGTTAACACAAAATTCGAAGCAAGTGCGCATACAAGTTAATCGACCGTCTCCCACGAAACCTCGACGACAATGGCAATTATATGAGCCGTGGGTGTTCGTGCATTTAGCCTCTTTATGACAATCATGCAAACCTAATCCACATTCATCTACGTCTGGACATTGCGCATAAGCCCATTCAGCATCATGAATGGAAGAACTGTTTAAAGCCAAAGAGCAATTACCGAAAGGGTGACTGAAATCACCTTGCATGCAGATACCTTCAATAGGATTGTCTCGATCAAAGCACCAGCCGCAACTTAGCGTGCGTAAACAAGTAGAACAATTATGATACTGAGTGCACGATTTGCATTGCTGCTTAGGTGTAACTGGCGTATGATGCACTGGCGATAGAGAGCCTATTATAGAGTTACGATTTCCATGTCCAATTGCGCTTGAGTCGTCAGTCAATTGGGGAGTTACCGACTGATCTAACCATTCCCGGCACATGCCAAACTGATATTCACTCGTATAAACCGCAAAACTAAAACAGGCAGCACGAGCTTCGCACCAAACACATCTACCTCTTTCGTTTAAGCAATCGTGACAGTTTCTACGCAGTCTACATTGAACTGGGCATTTGCTCAAAGAAGTCACGCTGTTTTCAGATTTTCCCAAACGGGCGCAACGAGCCTCCTCAGCCCACCATTCGCACAAGCCTGATTTGATACATTCTTCACAAGATACATAATTAGAGCAGTTTGCACAATGACCAGGTTGATTAATTAGGTATTCCCATAAAAAATGTGAACTATTTTTGCCCACTTGGGGCGTGCTACATGCCTCAGTTTCGTTTACTGTTTTTAGCATACATTGCGATTTTAAAGAGCACCACCCGCAAGCATTGTCTGTCAAACATTGCAAACAATTTCTGTAACCTGCACAATTTTCACCAGAATAGTACGGTTCCAAATATTCAAAAGTGAACGCATTCAAATTGCCGTGATAGATATGCTGCAGTTCCATTTTAGTTTTCTGGTAGGTATTATAGATTGCATTAAGCCCGATACGTCTGCGAGCTTGGAAGTCTATTAAAAATGGCAGTTCTGTGCTTGGTATCTCAACGTTGCTACAGTAAGATTGATTGGACGTTTGTTTTACCAATTCTTTAAGTGAAATAAGGTCTTTACCTAGTCCTGCTTTCAGTATGGCAGACGAATAACTGGTGCATACCTGAATTTCGGTAGGTTCTTCCTCCCATTGCTTTTGCGGCCTAACGAAACCAAGCAAACGCGCTAACATCTCGCCTTCCAGTTTTTGCTCATATTGAGTTGTTGGTGTGGGCGAGGCAAAATCGACCATGGTAGCGTTAACAATAGCCACATAATCGGGCATTGTCAGATTAATTGGATAATGATATTTGACGTAGGTTAAGCCCGGACGCCGATCATTCTGAGTGCATTGAGATGGTTGACGAATTTCTGTACCCTGCTCTCCCCACCATCCAGGACTATGAGAAGGCGTATCTTCACCACATATACCGTAATTATCATCTCGATGGTGACATTTGGCATTCTGTACACACCACGTACACTCGTTTAAACCTAGTTTACTAGCCACAGAAAAATAAACTTCTGATCCCTCTTGGCGTTTATTCCATTGTGTTCCATGGACCAAGCAAGAATGACAATCGCCTAGAGATGGACAAATTCCAGGACATCTGGTCGTTTGCAAGTTGCTTGTACAATTTGCTCCTATTGTTCGCCCATAGCAACTACTATCAGCCGAACACCAACCGCATTCTGGATTTGATAGACACGCCGTATGTGATGTATGTAGGCGGCAAGACATTTCGGGATTGTAGCCGTTCGAGCTTTGCATTCGCAAAACTTGCGGCAATTCGTAAGCAAATAAATCAGCATTGATATTGCCGTGATATCCCCCTACAATCAACAAAGTATTATTGCGCCTTAAAGCTGCAGCCTGGGCAAACACTCCTTGTTTTTTCGGATACAAACTGTCTTCAGCGGAGACCACCTGATTGATCCAGATGTGACAGCTCAAGTGATACCAGTACATTTGGTTATCATAACAAATCTCGTCCTTATTGTGACGATGTGTATATCCGCCAAAAACAATCATGTAATTACCACTAATGGTAGCCGTATGGAAAGCTCTCTCACGGGGTATGTTGGTATCGCGTAGAGCCGTTCGCGGATAGAGAATTTCTGTCCAATGTAATTTATCTAATTGAAAAGCAAAAATCCGATCGGACAATTTCGAAAAACGGGCCAGACTTGTCATTATACCACCAAACACTATTAATGAGTTGGTGGCCTTATAATATACCGTTGTATGAGCAGCTAAACGGACATCCAATTTTTTTCCTCCACGCGGATGTATCAATTCCCAATCAGCTTCGTCTTCACCAATTTCAACATAAGATACCGGCCAGCTTATGCGATAAATGCTGGATAATGGAACTGTTGTAAGTTTCTCCAATATTGTCTAAATAAAAAACTTACTTTGATGAAAATTCCCCCGTTTCCAAGCTGCCACCGAAGAGATATAAGTAGTCATTGGCTAATGTGATAGTATGCCTAGCCATAGGCGGAGGTCTTGATTTGGACTGCGTAGCCAATTGTTTCCATTTTCCACCGCTTTCGCTATTATTATAGAACCATAAGTCGTTGAAAAAGCTGCCATTAGCTTGCTTGCCGCCAAATATAACAAAACCTCCTGGCACCCGTGCTGCTGCGTGGCCGTAGCGACCATGTGGCTTGTAATCAGTCACCTCTCCCAAAATATCTTCCAAATATTCCGACAATTCTTCATCAGTTGAATTAATACTAACCGCGGTTAATAGTTGAGAACTGCGTGTTTGACGCTGATGTAAATTCGATTCCGCCAGCGTGTAAAGGATATTACGAAATATTGAAATATCACTTTTTAGACCCCATAGTTTAGCCTCATCTTCGTTTTTATGTTGTAATACAGCTTTAAGCAAAGAATGATCAATTTTTTGCTGATGGTAATAATGTCTACGATTTTGCAAAGCTATGCCCCATTGATCTTCCCATTGACTAGTAGCAAAACGATAAATCTAAAAAAAGATCAAAAATTTTGCAACAAGGGGACGTAATATCTTAATCATGAACTTACCTGTAAAGTGCTTATGACATTGTTAAGATCATAACCACCGAATACATAAAGAGCGTCTTCTTCATCTATATAAATAGCAGTATGAGCGGCACGTGGAGTCATGCCTTCAGCATCTGTCGCTAACCATCGCCAATTTCCACCAGGAGGTTGTTCATGCAAATCGCACAACCTACCACTGTAACCCTAAATTAAGGAAATAAGAGATCACATTGAGAGAAAACACAAACAACAAACGTTCTTCCACCTTTTCGCAATGGCATACTCCTTTAATACATTTCCCCTGACCCTGTAATTCCCCGCATTTATTAGGGCAGGCTTCATCTTCACAATCCGGTCCAACCCATTCTCCGTGGCAAACACACTGATGGCCAACACATTTACCATGATTGTGGCAGTTATTTAAGCAATTTGATATATAATAAGATGCTCGAAAACCGTCTAAAACATAATTTGTGTCGCTATACATGAATATAATCATCTAAAATAAATAAGCAAAAATTATATGAATTCTTTTTAGTTATTCCCTACCAGTTATTGAAAATTTACTTACACTCCCGCTACGTGCCACCAGACGCTGCGGTTGCGTACGACCGCTGAAACTCCCCAGCAGAGTAGAGTTGAACGAATCACCATCATACACATAAATATAGTCGTAAGAACATTCCGTACCCATGCTATGAAATGTTAGCGTTATAAACTGACTGTTATTGCGAGCTTTTATCAGCCATTCGCAGTGCGAGTCTTGAGTATAATTAAAGCCAGCAGGACCATCGCTTATTTCACCATATTCAGCCGTAAAGACTTTACGACTACGATCACAGGGAGAAGAGGAGGAGTGATAATGCATTTGCTGTGTATTGGTTAGTGAAGAAACGCGATCGGCTAATACCAATGGCAACTCTCCAACAATATGCAGGAGAGCTAACAATGCGCCAAATATCACAATTGAACGCATTGATGTTTTATTTATCTTAGTTCATTTACAATCACTTAATTCAATTTTATCGATATATAGTAAATATTTATCCAACGCATTTTTCATTGATTTCGTTAGCCGTTATTTTTTACTATCAATTATTCATAACACACAATTTCAGACTTCCACAATCCCATTTATGATTGTATTTATTTGCATTTTTCCGTGAGTTTTATAATTATTTGCAATAATTACTGAAGGAAACTGCATTTACTTATTTTCAGATACGTGAGATACGTGAAAATTTCTATCCATCCACTATCAGATGTTTTCTCATTTTGTTGATACGTTTTCGTCTATTGTGAATGAAATACTCTTGCTCATAAGCTGAAACTTGATAGCACTTTTTATCAGTTGTGCCAATTTTCAATGTAAACAAAATTCAGAAATTCAAATTTTTATACAGCAACAGGTGTCTAACAGTAAAGTGAAATATTATGTGAAATCTTTTAAATATACCTGAAATTCTTTCATACGATTATCTTTATTTGGATTTGAAGTTATGCAAAATGGAATATTAAAAATTATTACTTTGCCTTATATTCAATTATTTTTAAGTAAACGTCTGATACCCACATAATTGAAGAAAAATCGAAAGCTTTTATAGAATAGAATTAAGAACTTTTAAGAATTCTGAATTTTTGCTAACCCGATTTGGTTTCAATAATCATAGTACTCATTGCCCACTGTCCTAAAACATAAGACTTCTGCAAAAAATGTGCTAATAAACACTGTGTATCAAAAAACTTTCTCAAAATGGAAATTGAAAAATTTCAGTTTTATAAAATATAAGATCTTAACATCTCAATAAATGTTGACGTTAACAATTAAGGGAGAACTGTAATGAATATAAAGCATTGAAAATTTATTTTGATGAATTTTTCATTGATATGCCTATTTCCACTTATATTATTTTCCAATCGATCTTGATGATTTCTGTTTTTTTTTTCAGATGAAATTCGTAGTTTAAATTCACTTACTGCGTCTGAGTTCGATTTTACCCGTTAATAATGATTCAACGGCAAAGTTTATGCAATTTTAAGTTTATATGCCTTTATAATGAGAATGTAATTGCATAAAACGAGGCCCCCCTGTACACGGTTTGGCAAATTCTTAAAATGACCTTCATTTGACATTACATTGTGTTATAATAGAGTTCGCTTCAGTTTAGGAATTTGTGTCCTGCAAATAATCATCACATTCGCACGCATCTGGACATATAAGCCACATTTCTCATTGGCTCAGTCCATTCGAAATCAACATCTGGGAAAAGAAAAATAAAGGAAACAAAATTGCTTTAATTAAAATGGCGTTAAATAAATTAAGTATTGAAAGCTTGGATTTAGCTGGAAAAAGGGTATTGATGAGGTAAGAAACATTGTATAAACGTTTAGTTTCTTTCTTCTAACGTAACCTACTCTTTTTTTCTAGAGTCGACTTTAATGTCCCAATTAAAGATGGTAAAGTTGTGAGTAATCAACGTATTTTAGCCGCTTTAGACAGCGTGAAGTATGCTTTTTCGAAAAACGCCAAATCTGTTGTTTTAATGTCTCACTTGGGCCGCCCTGACGGTAATAAAAATCCTAAATATACATTAGCACCTGTGGCTGAAGAACTGAAAACTTTACTGGGAAAAGAAGTGGTTTTCTTGAACGACTGCGTTGGCTCAGAGGTAGAGGAGAAGTGTAAGGATCCAGTAGAAGGCAGTGTTATATTATTGGAAAATCTTCGCTTCCATGTGGAAGAAGAAGGCAAGGGTGTCGATAATAGTGGCGCGAAGGTTAAGGCTGATCCTGAGAAGGTAAGGGCTTTCCGTGAAAGCTTGTCCAAGTTAGGCGATGTTTACATAAACGACGCCTTTGGCACAGCCCACCGCGCTCATAGTTCCATGTTGGGCGAGGGTTTCGAAAAGCGTGCCGCAGGACTTCTGTTAAACAAGGAACTTAAGTACTTTTCACAAGCTTTGGATAGTCCACCCAAACCCTTTGTCGCAATTTTGGGCGGCGCCAAAGTTGCGGATAAAATTCAATTAATTGGTAATCTGTTGGACAAGGTAAATGAAATGATTATCGGCGGAGGCATGGCTTTTACCTTCCTAAAAGTATTAAGAAATATGAAAATCGGGTCTTCGTTATTCGATGAAGAAGGTTCAAAGATTGTTCAAGATTTGGCGGACAAAGCTCAAAAAAACAATGTTCAGCTCCATTTACCAGTGGATTTTGTATGCGGTGATAAATTTGCCGAAGATGCAGTTGTAAGTACAGTTGAAGATGGTATCCCTGATGGTTGCATGGGCTTGGATATAGGTCCTAAGACTAGAGCGGCTTTTGCTGCACCGATTGCTGCGGCTAAAATTATTGTCTGGAATGGCCCTCCTGGCGTATTTGAATTTGATAACTTTGCCCATGGCACTAAGAGTCTCCTGGATGCTGTCGTAGAAGCTACCAAACGAGGATGCATTACTATTATTGGCGGTGGCGATACAGCTTCTTGCTGCGCGAAGTGGAATACCGAAGCGCTGGTGTCTCACGTTTCAACAGGAGGAGGCGCCTCGCTAGAACTCTTGGAAGGAAAAACACTGCCTGGTGTAGCTGCTTTAAGCGACATATAACGATTACTTTAACTAATACTTTAAACACAGTCTAAAATCAAAAGGCGTGAGGCTGATGATGATATGGTTTTTTTTCTTTTTTCTTTTGTATACAATAAATCATAGAAAAATTATGATAGTTGTGCACTATTTTAATGCAATAATATTTCTAAACTATCAAAATCTATTTTCTGGCAAAATTTTTGTCCATAGCAGCTTGTGTTCTTTGTATATTATTTAAATTAGATTTTATGCGAGACTCCACTGAGGGATTATTCTGCATGGCTTTCTTTAATTGCTTGCTGAGAAATTCTTTATCAAAGTCTCGAGTTTGATGATTCCGTTCTTCGCGCTCGTAAGCTTCACGGTGTTTTTGAACTTTTTCGGAGCGTTCTTCCTCACGCCATGTAGCGTTTGACATCATTTCTTTTAATTTCGCTTCTCTTTCTTTTTCGCTTAATTTGGACTTTCGGTTATGCGAATTGATCCTTTGTGAAGGTTTTTCTTTCGATCTAGAACGGCTGCGCGTGGACCGTCTATTGGAACGCGATCTAGAATTGCGTTTTTCAGGTCGTTCTTTAATGCGATCGTTTCTTTGAGAGCTATATTTTTTAGAATCGTGGTCTCCACGTGTTGATTTAGATGAGCTGATTTTTCGGTTATTGTCGTTTCTATCACATGTAGATCGATTTCTGATTATTTCTCTTGATTCTGATCTTCGTTTTCTTGATGACGGACGACGCGATTCGCTTTCACGGGTATCACGTTTATGTTTCTTCTTTTTCATATGCAACTTTGATTTTTCTGCGGCTCTGTCTAACTCTTTCGAAATTGTTTCAAATTTGGAATCTAAAAGTTTCGCTAGGTCATTATCTTTTCCAAGCAAACCATTTCTTAATTTCTTTGCCAATTTATTATCCAAATCTGAATCGCTATCAACGTCTGCATGTTTGCTTCTTTTGCGCTTCGCCTTTTTTGATTTCTTACTTTTTTTGGAAACCTTTTGCAAATTGTTGTCGCCTTTTAACATTTTATGCAGTTCTTTAAGCTTTACCGGATTTTCTAATATCTTACGTCTGGACTCCAATTCACGCTGCTTGATTAGCATTAAAGGATCTTCCATAACTTTACGCTGCAAATCTACCTGTTCCGTTGATTCCAGATTTTTGTATGATCTTATCGAGAAAGGTACGACGTCGTGTTCGACGTGATTCAATGGCTGCTTTAATCCAACCATGTTCTGCGTCTGTTGCAGCTTTTCTTCAGCTAGCAACGTTTCAAATGATTTGTCTACCGCTCGGCCCAAAAGATATTCCTCCCTATTAATTAACTCATTATTATCTAAAAATAGAAAGGACAGCCTTTAGAAAAAATCCACATCAGTTACTCAAATAAATTTACTTTTATACATCCACTCCAACTTTTTATCTGAATCGTTAACCGTCGATAGCAAGCCATTTTCTCGACTTAAACGCGTTAATTCTTCTCGATTTCTCTCTTTTTGAATCTCCTTACGCAAATCATCGACTTTTTTCTCCTCTTCACATTTTGCTTGCTCGGCTTTCCATACCTTTTCCTGGTTCTTCAATGTGTGTGGATGCCATGATTTCTTTTGATTCTGAGCAATGAAGTATAAAATTGAAACCAAAAAATTAGAAGGCATATGCTATTAACTTACCAAGTCGCCGCCACCCATTGAGTTTGAATTGAATTTTCCCCCACAAATTTTTAAACAGTTTAAAGAATATTTTTATCAAATATTTTGCTTCTTGTTCTTCTTTCATCCGTTTACTGCCTTCATCAATTGATAACTTGCATGTTCTTCTTCTTTTTATTCAAATGAATATTCATTCAGCGAGTCGACAAAAAATGAATCGCCGCGTTATAAGTAAGAACAAAACTTGCGTATTAAATAGAAAATTAACGGAAATATAAATCCTTCATGCAAAAATGTCGTAAACGAGACATTTGTTGATTGCACACTGAGATGGAACCCCTTCATAACAATTTTTATAAAAGTAACCGGGCAAATGGGATAGTAAAAAGTTTTAAACCTTACTAAACTATACGCCCATTGCGACTCTGTGAACCAAATACTGCTATAGGACTCATAATTTGTGCCTGTTCAGGCCAGCGAACATTTTAATCATTTATTGGCTTTTTCAAATGTAGCCCTAAGCTCTAGTTCTCTGCATCTTTGTTACGCTGCCGTTATATGTTATGAATCATTTTGAAAATATTCATCTAATTTTGAAAATAATCTAAGTATACATGAAAATGCTGAGCAAACAACATTGTGAACTACAGGGACATCTTGACAGCAAGTGATGAAAACAATTGAAAATGACTTAAATTGATCCCAAACTGAATTGCCTTTACATTTGAAAAAAGGTCGTGGCAAAACGCCAAAGATCCTAGGCACAGTTTATTATATGTCCGAGGTCCAGCACTTTGAGCGGTGATCAAATTTTCCCGATATGATGGTCGTACAGATCGCTCATTTGTCGACTTTATTAAGGCTTCGCGTTTTCTATTACAATGTAGCGAGTCGCCTGTGGTCCGACTTGCCGAAGACCTAAAAAGAAGAAGAAGATATAGATCGCACATTGTATCACTAAATGGTTATTGCCAATATTACTGCCGATAATAACGGCAGTATTTCGAAATTGATTACGATTTTTTGACACAAATAATTTACCAGAAAACACATTTAAGCAAAAGTCGAGCTGAATTGTAACAACAATGAAAATTTTACAAAAACCATATAATTCAAAACTGTTTTTAAAATTTGTTCGTGTTAATCAACCGGCCTTCGCTTTGGCAACAGATTGCAAGAAAGATGGAAGAAATACAGTATTTAATAAATTAAGCATAGACAAAATGGATCTAAAAGATAAACGCGTTTTAATGAGGTGACCATTGCAATTTTTGCGATATAAATAAAACTTATTTTGAATTTCGATGGCAGAGTAGATTTCAACGTGCCTGTGAAAGATGGCAAAATCGGTAGTAATGAAAGAATTGTCGCTTCTATGGAAAGTATAAAATACGCTTTGGATAAGCAAGCGAAATCTGTGGTAAGTGATCGACATCATCAATAAAGTTCGGCACTCAGCTGCATGTAACCAATTATAATTGTCTAGCTAAAAATGTACTTTCTTAAAAGGTTCTTATGTCCCACTTGGGTAGACCAGACGGTAAAAAAGGTGAAAAATTCACTTTAAAACCTGTTGCTGAAGAACTGAAGAAATTATTAGAGAGGGATGTTACATTTTTACCCGATTGCGTAGGACCAGAAGTAGAGAGTAAATGCAAGGATCCTGCCAAAGGAAGCGTTATTTTACTGGAAAATTTAAGATTTCATATAGAAGAAGAAGGAAAAGGTAAAGATGATAAGGGTAACAAAATCATAGCTGACAAAGGAAAAGTTAAGGAATTTCGGAAAAATTTGGCTAAGTTAGGTGACGTATATGTTAATGATGCATTTGGTACAGCCCATCGAGCCCATAGTTCTATGATGGGTGAAGGCTTTGAAAAGCGTGCATCTGGCTTTCTTATGGCGAAAGAATTAAAATATTTCTCTAAAGCTTTACATAACCCACCAAAACCTTTCCTGACTATACTTGGCGGAGCTAAAATATCCGATAAAATACCCATGATCATGCATATGTTAGATAAAGTAAATGACATGATTATTGCAGGCGGTATGGCATTCACGTTCCTTAAAGTGTTAACCCAGATGGAAATTGCAGACTCTTTGTTCGACGAAAAAGGCTCTAAAATAGTGAACGATATTTGCAAAAAAGCTGTTGAAAAAAATATTGAAATTTATTTACCAGTCGATTTTGTATGCGGTACGAAAAAAGCTGAGGATGCCGAGGCTTGCATTGCTACCGTTGAATCAGGTATACCCAAGGGACATATGGGATTAGATATTGGTCCAAAGACGCAGCATTTGTTTCAAAAAAACATATGCGCAGCTAAATTGATTATGTGGAATGGGTAAGTCGGAGAATCACAACAGTGAAACTGTATATTATTAAATATCGCTTTAGACCTCCTGGCGTTTTTGAAATTGACCTTTTTGCTAAAGGGTCAGAAGCTGTAATGGATGCTATAGTGTCTGCAACCAAAAGTGGAGCGACTTCGATTATTTGTGGCGGCGATACAGCTTCATGCTGCAAAAAGTTTAAAACGACCGATAAGGTGTCACATGTCTCCACAGGGGGTGGGGCTTCTTTAGAATTACTAAAGGGTAAAACTTTACCGGGTGTTCAAGCACTAAGTGATGCCTAGAGTTTACGATTTCAAGTAATACGAAAATTAAATTTGAAAAGTTAATATAACGCATCAATTTTTTCGCCAACCATTCACAATAATATTTGTTTTTACTCTGCATGTTATTATAGCAGTTAAATGCGTTTTTATACAGAAGAAGAAGAAGAAGAAGAAAGTCATTGCTTAGTAGTCCACTAAATCAATTCTCTTTAGTATTGCTTTGGCCATTCAGTCGGCATTGAATTTTTAAAACTACTAAATATTTAAAACAAGAAAAGATAATACAAGCGCATTGAAACAGTCATAATACATATTCACGTTAAATATGGCTAATATTTGTGTGAAGACATTATTACCAGGAAATCGTTTTTTGGGAGCAACAAATAGCACGGTATATGGTAAACGTGGAAAGTAAGCGAAGCTATTCTATCTTTATCTGCAATAAAATTATCAAAAAACCACATGGCAGTTAATCACATTAAATTAAATAAATGATAAGCACTTTGTGTTACAAACATATACGCTTATACAGGCATATAAACAAATCGATTCATGAAAATCTTTTAATGAGATTTATGAATTACGAACTCGTTAACGCAAAACCAAGTATAGCTACCTGTTAGCAAGGTTCTGTAAAGCCAATCATTGTTTTTACTATTAGTAGCGCTAACATTAGTTAGGCTGCTTTGTGATAATTTTGTAAAATTTTTATTGCTTTCAAGTGTGTTGAAAGTAAATTCTCTCTCTTTTGAATAAAATACGAAGCATATTGAACAGTAAAAAGGGTTGTGCACCTCGTTAACAAATACATGGAAACTGAACTAAAATCTTATGCTTGCATTAGCTACACTTGACATGCTTTAATATTAGTCTTAATTATAAAGTATTTTTATCCGCACTACAGAAGAATTAGTGCATGCCAGATTTATCCCTCCGTTGAAAATTATGGTCATACATTCTTTGTCAATGTAAGACTGTTGATCTACGTCTTTCTATTTGATAAAGAAGAGCTGAAAGTAGAGAGGAAACTGAAATTTAGCATTTATATGGCATAAATCTATTCTTAGTTGACGCCACAGAAATGGCAAGATATATTTTTTTTTCGAAAAAAGCCGACGACAATTTATTTAAATCACCTATGACCATAATCCAGAACTGTTTGTTAATGAACAAAATTAGGCATCGAAAGGGAAAGAAAAATATTATGAATTTAATAATGAAGAAAGCAAAGCATATAGTATTTTACATATATTAAATTTGTATGGACAATTGCACCGATCGATTCAGAAGATAATTCTAAGCTTGTTTGTCCGTCTGATCTCTGGCCAATTTTGATGAAATTTGGTACCCTGACGTGTTGTGGCCCAAAGACGAACACCTTTGAAAATGATACGAAGTGCATCGTTTTTTTAGCCACATCCTACACCTTATTTTGCTAATTTGTTATACTAAAAAACATTGTAGTTTTTAGAATTTCGACACTAAAATCGCGTACTAATAGTATTCCGGCGTTTTAATTGTTCGGATCGGATGGAGCAAAATTTTAAACGCCTTGTCATATAATCTTTCCTACAAGAACGGATACTCGATATAATGAAAAGGCCTTATTCTCAATAGTTCTTGATGTCTCTCTATAATCATAATTTGATATAAAAATGAACCATACCGAATTCAGACAATCTAATTTTTTGGTCTCAAGCTTTTTAATGAAAAGATCAAGATCAAATTTTTAATATTTTGTGATGAAAGTTTTTCCTTAGTAAATGAACCAAAGAAAATTTGGATCTATTGTTTACACCGCGCTGTATATAGGCGACAAAGCCTAATTTGTGGTTTGTTATAACGGAAGCAACTGGAAAATAATAAAAGTTTAGACAAGCAATAGAACTTTCATGAAAATGAGGCGTTTACATAAGAGTAACGTATAAAATTTCGTGTATTACTAATTAGGCGAAGTGGCGTAGGGCATCTAATGGTCCCCCTTGTCCGACTTGGTTTTGTATGTATTTCTGCTATCTACGATGTACTGACATCGAGGCGTAGACTAGAGGGTTAGTCTCTAAATAGCGTTAAATCTACTTTAGAAAAGCCATAAAGAAGAATCGTAACGGTATTTTACACCGATAGCAAATATAGGTAAACCGATTGCCGACATATTCTACCATAGGGGATGTGTCGAATGTTTGAGTTGCACAGAAATTTGTATTAAGATCGTTATCAGCACAAATGAAGGAAGTGAATCAGTCAGTGTTAAAAAAATAACGAATTCACAGCTTTGATAGAAAGATCAAATGTGACATTAGGAAAAAACTGATACTTTCTTCTAATAGAGAGCACGAAACTTTTTCTGGTTACTGTCTTGAATTGATTGACACAAACGGACTAGTCATGTCAATTTTACCTCTCTCTCTCTCTCTCTCTCTCTCTCTCTCTCTCTCTCCGTTTATCGAAACCAAAAATTATGAGCTTAAGAATTTGACTACAAATTTTTCCCTCCAAGATCAGTCTTCTGATTCCCTTGCATTACTATATTCAACCCAATGTTCTCACTACCTAATGATGTTTATTAAATTTCGTCTGAAAAGTGCGTTTTTCCATTCGGCTTTATCTCTTCAATCGAGACAAGACGATGCCTTAGGAGAGGTTTTGCAACTTTCGCCAATAGGGAGCAATCAGGCGGAGATAATTAGTGTTTGCCAATGTACTAAAAATTGGCCATAAAAAAGAGAAAGATTTTTACAACAAAGTTGACGAAAAAATTTTGAAATTTATTTATCTATAGGCTTCGTATTTGGCACTAAATAAAGGCGAAGACGAGAGTTGCCTCACGAACAATATCGTGTTTTATACAATACCTTTTGAACAGTATTGTACCTATATATGCGCGATTGTTCATTACTAGAAAGAGCAAAAACATCATCGTTCGACTCGACCCAGCACAGGAGATGTGGGTTTACTAAAGGGGTGCTACATTCAGATTCCATATTTCTCGCGGGAGTCCACGATCGAATTTCTCTTCCCCGATTCAAAAAAATGTCTATTCATTCAATAAATAAATAACCTTTTTTACAATACAGTTCCATAAAGCAAATTACGCAACTATAGTATAAAACATCGCATATATAAAACATAAATTGAATCTTTATACTTGATAGCTCCGTTAAGTATTTGTATGAAGTTAAGCCAGATTCATTTCTAATTATTGAGAAATTCTTGTCCCCTTTTAATTTGAATTCTATCTAAAAATGTCAAAACTTTCTTTCTCCTTTCGAAAAGTACGACAATGGAATATTTATATACATTTATCAACAAAAATCAGCGAATCTTCAATTGCTCATTTAATGAAGAACAGAAGAAGAAGAAGACAATGAAAAAATAAATAGAAACACTATAGTGGGACATGATTCACTATTAAATACCCTACACGCCGTCGTTCAATACATAGTCGCTATTCATATAATGGCATTTTAAAATAAGAGTATATGGGGAGTGGTCGAAAAAATTGTCGAATTTAATCACTTTCGTCGTTCGTTCTCCCAAATTTCATCAAAATTTCTTAAAAGTTCTCATTAGTAGCTTGAACCCAACAAAAGAAGACAGACAGACGGACAGACAATCTTAGATCGATGCAAAAACAGATTCTGAACGGATATAATAAAAAGTGGATCTATCTCAGCTCCGTCCAAGTATTGCATATATCCGCACAAACTTAATATCACAAGCGGTGTAGGGTATGAAAAGAGATCGATTTCCCTCGCTTGCCCTACCGATGTATTGTTTTTGTTATGAAAAATATTTTGCAAGAAAAAAACATTGAAAATATTTACAAAGAAGTCAATATTTAGAAAGTAGAAAACAAAAAAATATTTTCTTTAAATAATTGTAAAAGTGCCTTCTCTTATTTATTTATTTGTTTTTTTTTTTTATGAATCTTTGTCAATATGTTGTTACAAAATTTGAAAAAACAAATTGTTTTATTAACAACAAACTTAACGCTTATCTTTCATAATTGTTCATTCGGCTTATTTTTATTGTTGTTAATTATTAAAAAAATATCAACTGGAAAAATCTAGTTAAGTATTATTGAAATGTAATGTTCGTACCCTACATCGCTTGTCGTACAGGATACATAAGGTTAGTGCGGAGATATGTAAAACGGATAAGGTTTTGAAATAGACCCAACCTTTCTGATAATCTGGTTTGATCCAAGCCTGTCTGTCCGTCTGTCCATCCGATGTCCGTCCACGTAAAATTTGTGTTCAAGCTACAGATCGCAATTTTTGACATATTTTGATGAAACTTGATACACTGATGTGCTTTGGCCCAAGGAGAAACGATATTGAACTTGTTTCGAATCAGTCCCTTTTTTCGATCACTCCCCATTTAACGCCCTATTCTGAAGAGTCTTTATATGAAAAAATTTCGAATTTTCAAAATTTCTCGGCAAAAGTGATTAAGTAGTAGTATTTCGGCATTTTAAATTAGTATAAAAACTTTGCACCGGCTTGGGCAATTTTTGAACCCCCCTAATTTTTAATGCCTTTTGATGAAAATAATATTGTAATGGTAATTTAACATAAAAAACTTAACAGTACCAAATCTGACCCATCCCGGCCTATGTTATTGATCCTACTCTGATAAGGATTTTCACGAAAATTGATCCCTTGTAGAGTAGAAAAGTTTACGTTTTAATATTCGGTGATGAAAATTGTTACATAGTAGTATTTACAAACTAAAAGGGATAAAATTTGGACCATCTACTCCTATTTTTGGGTCCTGTCCTATGTAAGGGTTAAACTTGTACTTCATTTAGATTGCATGTTGAGTCGCTGCTCCATAAACACGCCCTTGAGAAACCTGCGTTTATATATATAATAGATATAATTTTTGTGTTCTATAATAAAAATAAAAATTGTGTTAGATAATGTGATGTAGGGTATTTAATGCTCGGCTTTGCTCGACTATAATATTCTTACTTGTTTTTTGTAGTATTTTAAATTTAATGTATTCTAATATTTAATCTTAGTGAAGATTTTAATAATTTTTTTCCATCCATTATCTTGCAATTGGCAGAGCATGGTTTAATTCCGTAAAGATGGGTCCACCCGATGCCATTCTGGGTGTTACCGAAGCTTACAAACGTGATCCAAACCCTAACCGTATTAATTTAGGTGTCGGAGCCTATAGAGATGACAATGGTAGTCCATGGGTTTTACCCAGTGTGCGTTTGGTATGCATCAGTTTTATGAAATTTTTATGATTGATTGATTGATACTTTACACCATCAAAGGCATTACTTATGTTCAAAATTAGGAATCAGTAACTTCAGGTTTCATTATTTCAGTTCCGATTTTCGATATTTTTGAAGATCGTCTGAAATTTGATTTACGAATTTTTCTTTTGTGCGTTAAGGTGAATTCGAACAAATAATATTTTGAAGCGTTTTCTTTTAAGTCTTCTATTTTGAAAAATCTCTTTTTTGAAAGAACTATATAAACTAACTGATTTTATTTCTAATGGTTATACCATACACCATTTGTGGTGCAGGGTATATTAAGTTAGTGCGGACATATATAACACGCAGAAGAGCTTGAGCTAGACCCACCGTTTATATTCCACGTGCAGAATCATTTTCTGAATCGACGTAAGCCTGTCTATCCGTCTATCCGCCTGATGTAAAGTTGTGTTCAAGCTGCAGATCCCAATTTTTGAGATATGAAGTTTGGTACACTGACGTGCTTTGCTCTAAGTACGAACGCTATTGAAAATGGTTCGGGTCGGTCCACTTTTTCGACAACTTCCCATATAATAACCTATGCTGATATTTCGCTATATGAAAAGAAAAATGTAATTTTCAAAATTTCCCGACAATAGTGGCTAAGTAATAGCATTTCGGCATTCTAACTTGGTTGGAAAACTTTGAACCAGTTGGCGCAATTTTTTGAACTCGCTCTCATTTAACCGATCCTATGAAAACTGAATCGTTACATGGAGAAAAAAGTTTAATTTTTAATATTTAATGCGACTGTTGACGTGCATGGAAATACTTTTTCCTCATCAATCGAAATACAGTACAAGAAACTGTTCAAACAGTATTTCTCAGTAAGAAGTCAATTTCTTTCAAATCTTCATTTAAAAAGTAATTGCTGTAATTTCGCTAATACATTTACGTCATTCCTTTAAGGTTTTAATATAGATCTTTCTGTTAAACCCCTTTCTTACTTTTTCGGAGCTTTGAGAGCTCCTTCAGGGAAACCATGTTACAATCTTAGTACTTAAACTACGTGAATAAAGTTAAGTAAATAAGATTCGCGACCACCAAGTTAGTGTTCATGCGGGAAATCTGAAGTACAGTAAAGCTTTCTGCTGCTTTCTTGTGTCATAGTTATAGTGAGCGCTCAGACGGCAAAGGCATAACACTTACCGAGACACACTCACTAGGTTGCGGCTACTAATTTCTCCCTGTGCTACCCGAACAGGCGATGTCCAAAGAAATCTAACGCAGTTCGCACTCATTGTGTAGATTAAGTAAATTCAGACATTTTAAAAATACCCAATAAATAGGTGAGCGTATTTCAATGAATTATGAATAATGAATGGTAAGACGTCTGGGCTATAGTCTTACATGCTGTTGTTGGAATTGTGGCACAATAATCTCAAAAGTAGAACTGCGTAAAGTAAATTCGGTCTATTCCGAAGAGAGAAATTAGAAAACTAAATATTTGATACAGTTAGTGTGAGATTCGTTTCTCTAGAATGTGGACTTGATGGCTCGTTTGAAATGTAATATTAATCTCATATTGCTCCTTCGAATATATTTTTATGTGACACATTTCCCTGAATTTAAATATTTAAAAACACTTAAATGTTAATTGTATAAAAATTTATTAAAACTTGCCAATTTTTTTATGGTGGATAGGGAGGGGATTCATTAGAAAAGGTTATGGTCTTGTAGGTCACGTTATTAGTGTAAAGTATCAAATGATCATCTCTTCCTGATTTCTTTCCTTTCTCCGATTTTACTATTTTCATTCGCTTTTGCTATTGCTTTCAAGGCTGAAGAACGGGTAGTCTCCAAGAAATTGAATAAAGAATATGCAACCATTCTTGGTATTCCTGAATTCTATAATAAAGCAATTGAATTGGCTTTGGGGAAAAATTCTCAGGTATTGCAAGAAAAGCGTAACGCCACGGCTCAAGGTATTAGTGGTACGGGCAGTTTGCGTATTGGTTCAGCGTTTTTCAACAAATTTTGGGATGGAAATCGGGAAGTTTATGTACCCAATCCCACTTGGGGCAATCACATACCACTTTTCGAACACGCTGGCTTAACAATAAAAAAATATCGTTATTATGATCCCAGAACTTGTGGTCTCGATTTCAAAGGTTGTTTGGACGATATTAAAGTAAGATATAAATAAAATTTTAAATTTTTTTTTGAATTTATTTTTTACAAATCAATTTTTTTATTATTAGCAAATTCCAGAAAAATCGATAATAATCTTGCATGCTTGTGCTCACAATCCGACTGGCGTAGATCCTAATAAAGAGCAATGGTGTGAATTGTCCAAATTAATAAAAGAGAGAAATTTGTATCCATTTTTTGATATGGCCTATCAAGGATTCGCTTCTGGTGATATGGACCACGATGCTCAGGCTATCCGCATTTTTGAATCTGAAGGTCATACATACTGTTTAAGTCAAAGTTTCGCTAAAAACATGGGTCTATATGGAGAACGTGCTGGAGCTTTCACAGTAGCTTGTGCTGATAAGGATGAGGCCGATCGCGTAACATCGCAGCTTAAAATTCTTATACGTGCCTTATACTCAAATCCGCCCATTCATGGTGCTCGCATCGCTGGAGAAATTCTTAATGATCCCGAATTGTATGGCATTTGGTTGAAAGATGTGAAGCTTATGGCTGACCGGATCATAGGAGTGCGCAGTCAACTAAAGGAGAATTTAATAAAGAACGGCTCTACTCGCTCCTGGGAACACATTACAAATCAAATTGGTATGTTTTGTTACACTGGTATGAAGGCGGATCAAGTAGAGCGTCTTTCCAAAGAGTTTAGCATATATTTAACCAAAGATGGACGCATTTCAATGGCCGGTGTTACAAGTAAAAATGTGGAGTATCTAGCCAAAGCCATGCATGAAGTTACTAAATAAGCTTAGTTTAATAAAACTGGAACATTTAGAGTAATTTTAGCTAAAAGCGGTTAGGAAATAAAATATATTTACATAAACTAATTTTTTTACATTTATTATTTATACATAAATAAAAATTTTAGCAGAATTCGAAAGATAAGCCCATAAAAGCATATTTTAAATAAACGTAAGAAATACCTTTACAATTTTATGATTTATTGAAGGCATGAAACTTAAAATCATGGTTTGTTGTAGCGATATCTTAATTTATCGGTTGGTTCGCAATACTCCTTAATTATTAATTTACACAAGAATATATGGAATACTATAATTATTGCACACACCGACACCCAGAACAAAGTAGGCAAACCTCCCAACTGATGACCGTGTTTATGTAGCGCGATAACATGCTGTTCGTGGGCTGGAGCTGAAATACATTTTTGAATGAATAAAATATAAAAATTTATATGCTGCAGAGACAAACCTTCTCCCACCTCTTTTACATGCAGTGCTTTATGTAATTCAATAATATGTTGCTTGTCTTCCGTTATGTATAGTATAGCAGTCAATGGTTCAGTTAATTTTACGGGAAATTGACGACGACTTTGTCTGAAAATTAAAAAGAAATAATGAAAGAGAATATGATAAAATGTACAAGTTTATAAACTAACGTTAATAGCACTGGCTCATCCATGCAACCACCGTCGCAAGCAAAATAACTACGATCTGATCGATCTAAAGCTACATTTATAACAGCTTTGTTATCGTCAGTCACATTGATTGTGACATTAACATGTGTGTGATTGCCATAATTTAAGCGACGAAAATGAAAATCTCGATGCAAGTACTTCGGGTGTATATTGCATTCCAAATGTTGGTTGCTAAACCGAAAACTCCCGAAACTCAGAACCATAGCTTGTATAACGCCTGAAGAGCCGGCTCTTATCAAATTGTGGCAACCTTGCTTCTCCAACGTTAACATCCATGATGACACCAAGTTATTAAGTTCGGCCAGAGAGTCCATAGATAGCCACAGATTATCCGCTTGTAAGGTATGATAAGAATCATAACAACCCTCAGCATAGGTTAACGCTTTGTCTATATCCTGCTTGGACGGTGCCGCGACCGTAACGTATTCTTCAAATTCATAACTACGAGTTTGAGAGAGCACGGCATACATTGTAGCATTAATGCGATCGCCATTCAAAGTGTTTTCTGCTTTGGAGGTACTTATAGTGAATCCTGTAGCCCACAAATCAGACCACACGTTAATATGAGATTGTCGTAGCTTTTGTACTGCCGCACTAAATGAAACTTCTTTAGATTGCATCAGCTTTGCTATAGCTGTTATCGCTCTTTGCTCAGTTTCTTCCACGACAGCGCCAATTTGTTGTTTATCTTTGTTTATTGGTTTTGAGTAGTGCACGGCTATGGGTACATCTAACTTAACACTACCGCGCTTTTTCAATTGTATTGTTCGAGAAATTTTAGGTTTAATAACTGTCAGAACAATTACGTTCGATGTTTCTTCAGGCTTAGGTGCAATTGTACCAGTTTTGATTTCAAATTCATTAAAATTATTGTAATTTCCTATAGTTAAAGATCGCGATGATACACTTGCAAAATTAATACGAGGTAAAATCAATTCCACTTCTTCTATGTTATTACGAGTATTAGTGAACCTTAGCTCCTGCATAAGTATACTAGGCAATGTACGATGAGCGTAATAAGAATACGAAACGAAAATATTGGCGAAGCACTGAAAACTTTAAAAGAAAGCAAGTATTAACGAAATATGACATCAGAGATATTAGTATTCACTCACCGCCAAACAATGCCGGTAAGATATTCTACAACGGTTGCCTCCCGGCCTGTTTCTGTAGTTTGCAAAACTGATATTATTGGGAAAAATTGTGTAGGCAACTGCATGGCACGCCCGTACTTGATGTTCACGGAAGCGTCATGTACAATTTCTAAGCCTATATAACCATTTCCTATGTATGGTAGAATATTGCGTTCACCGGTTAAAACCGGCACATGTCGTATGTTGGCATCAAATTCAAAGTTTTGCAAAAAAAATGGAGTTAAACGATCATCCATGCATTGCATTAACGGATCTGATGTATAAATAATATGTTCCTTATTGAGAGTACTGGGACTAAAGATTTTGCATACCTTTCTTCTCCGTTGTTTTCATGAAAAGATACCGAAACACTGGCGGCAATAGATAGAAGAAAACACAAGTGCCTAACAGTAAAGCAAACAGCCTTCTGTAGGACACAAATAATTTGCGTATTACTTCTACAGTGTCGAATTTATTTTTTGCAAAACGTAACATATTACTAATGACCACTTTCTTGCTTTATTTAGTTTATACCGCTATTTTAAATGCCTTATCATAACTTCATCGTTCCGCACTTTTAGAAAATCAAAACATTTTTCATTCACGGATATTAGTTAAACACATGTTTCTGCGACGTTTACCGTGACTCGTTTTACAAAACATGTGTTAGCTAATGAACACAGATGATCAGCTGATTCACCTGATATAGTACAAAGTTTTCAGGGCTCGAATTTTTAAATTTATTTTTCGCGTTTATTAAGCATTTGAATATTTTTTGCGATCTATGCTTTTATTACAAACTCGTTTCTCGACTATCGTGCATACGGCCACTTTTGTTAGATGATCAAACTTCGTTTTACATATTTGTTTATTACGTGAAAAATGTTCCTTTCCAATTTCGGGATGGCATCAAACTAAGAAAAACTTTAGTTTGCACATACGAGAATTAAATAAGCACAAAGGTAGCTAGGCTGAGGCACTAAACAATTTTTTATCTCTTGCAGTTAGTGGAACAAGAATCCGTATCCAAAAATTCAGTGGTTCGTTTTTTTGTGGCTTGAAATATTAGTTTATAGGCAGTCGCTTTCTTGAAGTGTGCTTCAGTTCGACTTTCTTGCGTCTTCCCTATCGAAACTGGTTTGAAATTCAACATATGATAACAGCTACAGTGTTGTATATTCGCTTTTGTCAGAAATGTGCTCTACCCATAGAGAGAGAGACTTCTATGTAGTCCTCAATCTTTAAATGTAATGCTTCGTTGCATGATAAATGCGGCCAATGTTTCTACAATGTTATTTATACTCCCTTCCTATAGGCTATTACCAGTTGAAAAGGTCTTTTTACTAACTCAATAGATAATAACACATCATTAATTAAGTTTGAAGACGTAAGTGCTATGTTATCTAAAGACAACAAAACAAAATTCATAAAAACACAGAAAGATATCAAACAGTTGGAAACTTGTTTGCGAGATTGCGGGCAAAACATTTTAGTCTTGAAAAGGGTGAAATTCCCTAATCCAGGAAGTGATCTTTAACATGTTCTGGGAACACTTACCGTTTGCTGCGTGTTCTTCAAACCTGACATATTCAGATTAGCATTGGTTCAGATCGATGTAGTGGTATTTAGCATATCAACAGCTTTCAAATGCTGAAGGTGTGCGAAAATGTGTCGCTAACGAGTCACGAGTTTCCACCGTACAGGCATTCATAAGCGACCCGAAGTGAGGCAAAAGGCGACAAATAATGATGATGACCATTGCGATTATTAAGTTTAAATAAATGGGCAGAGTTCATTAGTACACTTAATATATTCTTACAATCATAGATTTCCAGATTTCCAGTTTGACTTCTTCCTATGACTTTATGATAAACCCATTAAGGAATATTTTTCGCGTTATTTTTGATTTCTCACTACTTAAATTGCATAATAGATCTTGTATCTGTCGATATTCAACTAACACGGAGAAGAACGTTATTTAAACATGCGTTGCCCGCACATAGACTCACCAAAGATGATCCATAAAAGTATATTGTTTCAATTAGTTCGCACTTTAGATATTTCTGTACGTTGCGCTTCTGCGCAACAGTCATAGCGACAGATTGCCGAGTAAATGATAAGACCTTCCCAATGTTGGAAACTTTTTAAAGATATCTAGAGAACTTAACGTCAGTGAAATATTTGACCTTATCAAAGCAACTAGACAAACCGCCCAGTCTACTTAAAAAAAAAAAAAAAACATAGTTGATAGTCTTGCTTGCTAGCGCTTATTCTACTCTTTAATCGTGGAATTTATTTCTTTAATCTAAATAATTTATAATAATAATAATAATAATGGTATTAATGTATTGAAAATGTATTTATTGAAAGAATAAAAAGTAAGCAACTGGCGGTTATCAGTACAATTTTCGGTCGAAGCTATCTTTTCTCTTGTTAAATAAAAAATTAGATAAACATCCGGGATTTGATAAACTTTCGTAGCTCTTTCTCAAGCAATTTCGATTTTACAGTGAAAAACTGCAGAGGTCGATTTTCGCAATTTACAAAATTTAGAAAATTTTAACAATGTTTAATAACAAATGTTATTTTAATCTTTTAAAACTAAAGAATTGTTCTTTTGATTCTCTCTTACTCCCTCTCTTTCTTATATATCATCATGTGTTTATATAGAAGACTGCATATTTAAGTAAAAAAAAAAAGGAAATAGAAAATTTATTTCAAACATTTTTATATAAATATATTATTGTATTTCTACTAAGTACTTGTAAGTATAAAATATATGTAAAAAATGGAAAATAAATGTTAAATACAAACACAACTTATGTACACTTCTAAATAAATGAATACATATTTTTTTATATATTTTAATATACACACGTGTGCATGTGTACATTATGTATATGAAAAAGGTAATGATTTCTGATATTGTGTATTATCAATGCTCAATGATCAATGATCAATGATCATCGAAAACATTAAACAAATTTACGAGTATTCTCTATGTTTACATTCGGATAAAATGCTTAAATCGCTTTTCTGCAGATTAATGTAAGAGTTGTGATGTGTAGATAGTTTGCAAATAAAACAAAAATTAGCATAAAAGCGAAATTTAAACAGTTTGTAGTTGGTTATGTTGCCCCACATTGTCTCGTAGGCGATAACTTTCTCCTTTTCGTTTAAGAAAACATTCACGTTTACTTTCGAAAAGAAGATGTTCATTTCTTAAAGTTCTGTGAATGTGCTTATTATGATTTCGTTGTTTGTTAAACTATGTTGAATATAGAATATCTTACTCTAAAGCTACTGGGAAGTTGGTTTTTATTATTATTATTATTATTATTATTTATTAATAATACCGCGAATTCATATATAATTAACCCATTACTTTCTATGTCATTGCTATTCATTCATTCTTTGTGGTTTTTTCTTCTTCTTCTTCTTCTTCTGTTTTTTTTTGATTCTATAATAAATTCCAAAAAATTTTCTATATTATTTAGTTTTAAATATTAAAAAAAAATCTTAATAATATATTTGGTGTAAATATTTGTGTTACGTTTATGTGTGTGTATGTGTGTAAAAGAAAAAAATGCTTCTCCGGGGTAGCAAAACTCAGTTAATTGCTATTACAGTTTAGTGTGATTATTTTTCATACGATCGTTTGTGTTACTGATTTTCATCTCGACAGTGTTATACACGGCACAAATGGTTTTTAAGATTTGCTTGGCAAATATTAGCAAAATAACGGCAGGGTGAAGCTCAATTAAATGGGTGAGATAGAGAGGGGTGCGGCAGTTAAATCCGGCAAATATTCTTTGAGAAGATCTCTTAAACGTAAAATTTCCTTTCCGGCTGCGGCCAAATCTCCTTGCAGCGAAAGTTCCCGTTCCCGTAAACGTTTAATGTCACGTTGACAGGTCTGCGAAAGAAAAGGTGGCCTTTAAGTTAAATATTTAAAAATATATATTGATTGTGTTCGTTACTGACCACATTTTGCCTTAATAAGTCTAGCTTATCGCACTTTAATCGGGTGACTTCCTGACGTAAGTTTTCAATTATTACCACTGTCTCGTTGCTGGGCGACGAACACATTGCTTGCGAGCCGTCCATACACATTGAGCAAGCTTTAATTGTAGCTTCAGCAGATGACATTGATTCTAGACCGGTATCACTATCAATATAAGTAGCACCGCTATCCAGATGAGCTATTATGGGATCCAAATCTATACTATTCAGGCTTGAATCGTCACTAGCCTCTGACATTCCTGCGGCCACACCCTGAGTCGATGACGACATAGCCCCGTTGCCTGAACTATTTCCATTTTGCAGATCTTTACATTGAGTTCCTTGGGAACTGCTATGGCTGCTACTGTTAACTGTATTGTTGCTGGTCAAAGGTTCGCGTGATGTAATATCTGGCGATGATGAAGTGGAATCATTTGATGATGTCTTCGATTTCGAAGAAGACTTTGAAACATTGCGACTGCAAGTCTATACGAAAATAAGAGGTTAATTAAAACTGATGGAAATTTTGTAGGATCAACAATTACTACAATAAATGGATTGAGATAAATCGGCCCAAATTCTTTAGTCGTCTAAGATATTTTCTGCAGGGTGTTAAAACGGTGCAAATTTGAAAGTTATGCTGTGTACACTTTCGGACAGGACTTTTACATGAATAAATATTTATAGCGGTTTTCGATCAATATATGTTATGTATATTTAAAGCATAGGCTGGCGACGAATTGTCATTACTGATGCTGTTCTGAGCGTATGACGCTTATTTGCGAACTTGATTGTAGTAGTCTACCAAGAAAATAAACTGGCAGTATTCCGTTTGAATTTTTTGCACCAACGCCACACATACGGACAGACGGACGTATATGGCTAAGTTCATCCAAATGTTAGATTGATTAAGAAAACTTATTCTTTATGAGTAGCATATATAAATGAAGAAACTCCGTCTCCATTCTCTCTCACTCTCTCTCCCTCTTCTGGGTAGTAGGTGAATGAACAAACTTGGAACACTTTCTCTTTTTTATATATATAAAAATAGTTAGAAAATTTGAACAGAGAAACTTACATTCGTATTAGGCGTCTCGCATAGGCTATTATCTTTCTTCGAAAACGTCGTTGCAGAGCTCACTTTTGTCGATACATTAAATTTCTCGACAGTACTTAAATTACTAGTGTCCACACTTTGGGAGCGAACGCGAGAAATTAAAGCCTTTTTTACCGTGTCTATAAAGCGCGTTCCGGCATTAGTGCTGTCCGACTTGGGAGTTTCGGGTGTAGGACTGGCAGGCGTATGTCCCGAGAGATCGGCCCCTAAGAATTCTCGTGTCTTTTCTTTCAATTCATCCACAAGATTTTGCAGCAAAGAAGTTCGAGTACGCTGCTCTAGCTTTGCAAATTTGTCCGCTTTATAGCAAGCATTCTCTGCGTTTATAAGCTTAGTGAGTATAAATTCCTTAAACTCTTGGCCTTTACGGAAAACAGCCGGATTAGGCAGAGTGGGCCCAAAGAATGGCACATCATCTCTAGCAGTTACGCTCACTTTGTAGCGTGTATTCGACGTGTTCGGTTCTAGCGGTTGAATTGCTATGAACGCATGTAAGAAATGGCTAGCGATCATGTCTGGCGAAAAAGGCGTATTCGATTCTTGAAATACGATCGCGACAATATCGTTGCCAATGTGCCGTTTACGTTGCAATTGTTGAGGATCCCCTTCAGTGTACGGCAGCAGAGTGGAAACATGGAACATAATCTCGCGTTCTTTGAATACTTCATAAATCGCCATATCACCGGTATGGCCATTCTGTATGTCTAAGCCACCACGATAACCCTTGTGATCCTTAAGTTTAATACGTCGACCCAACACGTCGAGAAACTCTTCAAAGGCTGGAGAGGAATTATTATTGCTAAATAGTTCTTCTTCGGTCGTCTGACCGAATCTTTGGTAAAGCACGCCAAATTTAAAATTGGAAACAAGCACATGTTCGTCGTAAACTCCGATCAGTGATGAGGCTCTTGGACAAACTACAGGCATGAAATGGTCTACGTTGATTTGATCATTTAACAAGCGTACGATTTTAGTGGGATTAGGACAGGCACCCAAACACGAGAAGGGAATAAGTTCATGCATTGTGCCTGTCTTTATGCGCAATAAAATACGTATGTGCTCCTGATTCGCTACATTTTCTGTCTTAATAGAGATCAGTACAGGACCCAATTGCTCATCGTGGCCTACCAAATTGGAGTGCTCTCGTGCAGCATAAAATCGTCGATAACATTTCGCTGTGTCGTCGGTTTCGAATTTAGCCATCCACGTTGTTTGCGGAAGCATAGGATTACCGCGAGCGTCGTAAGTGCATTCATGCTCAGTCCCATCGACCCAATAACCACCGTTACTCGGCAAAACGATCATGGGGAAAGGTGAATTTTTCGCCAAAACTTCTTCCAACAAACGTTGCGACGGAGGTATTGTGGACACATTTGATGAGTGCGATGATACTGATGTTTGCGACTGATAATGATGGCCATTCGAAAGCAGTTGTCCTCCCGATATAATACCACTTAATTGAGGAGAAGCGGGTGTACTGTTCGATGTTGTCGACATTGAATGCCTCAGCGTATTTCGGCAGTCTGAGTGCTGTAAACTATTATGATGGGTTGTTGTATGCGACGAAAGTGTTGCATTGTTAACGGCATCGTGCGACAAGTGCGGATGATGATGATTCGAAACCCATTCGCCGCCATTTGAATTACGTTGATGATGCTTTAAAGAAAGGAAAAAAGAAAAAGTTTTCATTTATTTTTTTTTCTAATTATAAAAAAGTATGTGCGCGCATATCGCACGTCGCGATGTCCATTAGAAAGAATGAATTGTATGTTTTCAGTTTAAATTTAGGATAGTTTTTCATATGTTAAATAATTTCTTTGCAATTTAACTCTATTATATAGTACATTGCTCTAATTATATACATATATATATACATATATATATATATATAGCAAGACAAAATACATCGTTAACTTCCTTCCTTTCTGTATGTATTTCATGCGAACATGAGAACTTCTTTTCTTCTTTTTTTTTTTTTTTTTTTCTTCACTGTAAGACAAAAACGGTTTTAACTATAATTAACTTTACCCTTCAACCAAAGAGAATGATTATATCTAAAAAAGAATAAATCATATGCCTGCGTTTGTGTTTGTGTGTTTATGTGTGTGTTTGTGCACATACATACAATCACAAACTGTCGTTTATGAATTACAACATACATCGACTATCTTAAAAATCATTTCCATTGTTAAAGTTTACAATTACGTGACGTCTATAAGTTCTTGTTGTTCATTTGCTATTTGAGCTTCTTGTGTTGTCATTTTATAACTTGAACGAACCACCTCTTTACGCTTGGCTAACTAGGGAGATCGCCCGAACAAGCAAAAGACACCAAAAATATTATTGCGATGAATGTATGACGTGTCTGGCGGATCACGGCCATGACTGCTTTTGATTTTATATCAACATATTACACTAACAATTGCGAGCTAGTTTCCTAATATCACTCACTTGCCCATCGTTAAACGTAATATCATTATATGTACCTATCTACCTGTGTAACTTGCAGCACTTGCTTGCTTAGCATAGTATGTTTGTGGATTTAAATAAAATTTATTCTTTTGTTATTCTAATATACATAAGTACACAACACAACGAGATACGTGTACGTGAGAGTGTAAAGTGATGAGAAGATTTAGTTTACATAAATTGAGTTTTTCCTTTTTGCTTTGCAACTCTACGAACTGTGACGACAAGTTTTATGAAATCCCGTCCCGTCGGCTACTCGGCATTTAGACAAGTCATATGACTATAGGATGCTATATGCTTGGTGCTTGCTTTACTTCTTCGAGTCTTCGAAACTCTTAATTCTTGATTGCGAATAGGAGAATCAAAAATTCCACGCAAAGTATCGGATAACATAAGGGCTCGGTCCCCGTCAGCGTGCATAATTTCTGCTTACCAAGACTGAATAGCTTGATTAAAACAATCATTTTCATTTATTTCTTTCTATTTTATAGATTATCGTTTATTTGCTTTTAATTATTCACTAGCAGCCATAAAAGCAATAATTCTTGAATTTGATGGCTATTGGTTAGCCGCAGACAGGTCACCAATAAATTTGAAATATCCTAAACGTTAACTTTGCGTAATTTGAACGTGAGTAAAAGCTAGGGATTCCTCCATCACTCATAGCTCAGGCGAAATTGGTTTTCTTAAAAGTTAATTATTTTATTCAAACTTAAATGATTAAATGACGCTATCGATAAAAATACAATACGATTGCTCACTACGTGCAAGTTGTATAAATATTAATACAACAACAAAGCGATAGAAGCGATGATTATTAATTTGTGGTCTCTTAGATTTCTACTTAGCTATTGTAAAAACTGCGACCTAGTTACCTCAGCCATTGCTTGAAATATAAAATATATGAGTAACGATCGATGCAAACCGCAAATTTAGTAGGTCTACCGCTCGCTTAGCATTCAATTAGTCAAGCGAAAATTTTGGGGCGTTTTTCTCAACATGTCGCTTCAGCGTTGCGTAACTTTCGTAACGCTAATTTTATCACATCACACTATACTGAATGTAAAAGTTGACAGTCCTCCGATAATTGAAGGCAACAAGCGATTGTGTTTTAAAGATGAGCCGAAATTTTGAAAAAAATTCACTTTGCCAGTTTGCGAAAATATTGATTGCGTTTATGGCGGCAATGCTTTATGAAAATCGATAGAAACACCAATCGATACTTCAATCTTAAAGAACGAAGGCGAAGAGATGCTCAACAGTCGTTGATGAATTCGTCGGGGAATTTCTTCATAAAATTGAGGAAGACCGGGACATGTCTTCATATGAAATTATTGGGGAACAAAATATTGACTAAAACACCGGTCTGCAACATTTGTCCGAACAATTCTGGATACAAGAAGCAACTCAATTTTTTAGTAGAATATTGAAATACGTAATGAACCAGATTCGTTGTCTGCGAGTCGCGCCTGATACGAAAAGGATTCAAGTAATTTTTTAAGGTGATTAAAATCGGCTATGACAAGCTGATTGCATACGAATATAGGATGCGAAAAAATCCTGTTCCCAGAAGGACGACAATGCTCAAATGGCGCCAACGCCCAATTTAAGGCCAGGCAAAACAATGGTTTGATGGGATTCGAATGGAATCGTACAACGAATTGTGCGAATATAAACATATGTATGCGCTTGGCGTTAATCATTACGCAAGTCTAGCTTCTTCGGCAGAAAACTATTTGGCCGCATACCATATAACTGCTGTTCCACAAACTGAATAAGTTAAGTAGATATTGCACGGTACTATCATTCTACAAATGTAAATGGATTACGTTAGAAATCTCTGGCTTGCCGACTAAATTCATCGGACCTCTAGTCAATTGACAATTATCTTGTTAAACATCTCGACTACTTCGTAGAAAGGAAAAACTTTAATAATCAAAAGATAAAAGCTTTGTAAATACATCCAAAAAGGATTTTTTGATTTCAGGATCTTTGAATTCTATATTAATGTATTTTAACATGTACATGATGTAAATCCAGATATCGCTACAAGTCGAGTACAACTTCTTTATGAGACTCCTATATAACCAAATCGCACTATCCAAAGCGTATTCTTCCACAGCTCGAATCTATGTATTGTGGCAACTTGGATTCGCATCTCTATTCAATTTAAATATTCTCCTATTGTTTTCTTTCTCTCTCTCTCTCGCTCCGTCTCTCTATCTCTCTCTTCTTCGTCTTCTTCTTCTTCTTCCTTTTCTATTCAGCAAACCAACAACCGAAAATTCGCTGAGATGTGCAAAAAAAAAAAAAGGCCCAATGTGAGCATAGAGTTCTTTGTTTGAGCCTTAGTAAGATTAGAGTTACTTTTGGTATATAAATATTCTTATTTATTTATTTTATTATTTCTTTGTATTTCGTAATTAAAACTATATTTGATTAATGTGTTTTTAATTTTGCGTGTGTTATACGTCCGCCACGTTATCTTTTCCAACAAAATGTTCTTGGTTTGATGTAAAAAAAAAACGAAAAAAAAGAAAAACTAAACAATTCATAGGTAGTATATAGGCATAGGAGGTCAGATTCGACAATGGTGTCCATCAAACAAACAGCAATAGATAAGGAATAGGTGTTAATCTATTCATTAGCATTATTTCGATTACGGAATTCTCTTTCTCCTTAATTCTGATATCGTTTCTTTGTTCTCAATTGTCCAATTATTTGATGAATTAATTGAATTTTCTTAATAAAATGCATTCTCGAGGCCAATGACCCGTTACGCATCTGCAAGGAGAAATTTCTTGACTAGTATGATTTTCAATATAAACATAAAATCGAAGAATCGCAATTACAAGTTATGAAAACGGTAACCATTAAATTCTATCAATAAAAAGAAAATAAATGTTACGTCACGAAGAAAAATATAATCGAACGGTAACTGCTTTGTGCGTGAATATTATTATAATAAGATGCATAGGCTGGCAGGCGGGCAGGCAGGCAGGCAGGCAGGCATGCATTGACACAAATACTCTCTGCACTCTGCGGAGAACAAGTTTATTGTTGCGATGAGCGGAGCTTAAGATATGCGGCAATACTTTCAAAAGTTACATTAGCATTTATTTTAATATAAACTTGATTAGTTATGACCATTGCCGTTTCAATTTTTAACAAATCAATTTGATTTAAAAATTTTTTGATAACTTACTTTGCATGTAATTAATGATAAATGATAAAATTACCAAAAAACCTTCATCTATACAAATGTTATGAGTCATTGCATTTCATAACTCTAGCTTTTTGAAGGAAAAAAAAAAAAAAAGACATTCCACCAATAAGACAAAAACAGAAATTACATATACTTAATACACGAATATGGTTTGCTAGTTGCATTACATATACATATACATGCATGCACTTTCTGTCAGTCATGATAATTTTACTTTCAAACTTTTCATACCAAAGTTGTTCGCATAAGCAAGAGCATACACAATTCGGCATATATAAAAAGCTGCGATTTCATATACAAACTACAAACAACAATACAGTGTCATTTATTTGCACTGCATGGCCAGTTAAAGCTATTATCGACACGATTCGTTTCATCAATTTTTTAACTGCTAATCACTTTTCGCATCTGTCTGGACGTCTTGAGAAATTCATTTCAAAGCAGCTGTTTCCTTGATTTCTTATTCGGTTTCAAAATTGTAATACACTTTTTTTCTTTTCTTTTTTTATGCTTTACTGCAAGTTATAGTTGACCGAAAAGCAGGTAATTATTCGCATTGAATTTCAAAAGGTTACGATAAATATGATTTTTATTCCATATGTTATATCGACATCCGCTATAGCTTATAAATTATTCAAAGTAATATTTATGAATTCTCATTACACCCTACGTCGCGACATATTAGAAAGAGTTGCGGGGGACGCGGGGAGAAGATGAGTATTTTTTGCAAGACTACTGGATTAGATGTAATATTGATCGATTCGGGATCACTTTCTGAACCGATCCAAGCTTGTCTGTCTGTCTGCTCATGTATTTTTATGTTCAACTTACAAGTCGTAATTTTAGAGGTATTTCAATGAAATTTGTCACGCCAACCGGTTCGGATTGCATCACTTTTTCGACTACTTCTCATACAATACTTTTTACTTATTAGGAAATGTCATTATGCGAATGTTTGCAT